CATAAAAGGCCTAAATACAGTCTTATTCTCAGCGAATGTTGGCTGGAATTTATCAGGAGGGCTGAATTTGGCACAGCGCCAGCCCGCTTTCCAGCAACTGTTGTCGCTGCTCTTTTCAACAATCGGTGGAAACGGGTTGGCTTCACACCAGTTCCACTACCGGCCCCCACCACTGGCACGCTCCAGCATCCGCAGCGAACAAGACTCGTGTTGAGAGGGTCAGAGCATCACATAAGTGAACTAGGTATTACCGCCGGACAATCCAGTAGCGACGGTAATTACTCTTAAAGTGCTTTTGTTTCGGTTCGCGTTACCGCGTACCTAAAAGATCAGGTTGAGCGCTCGTTTTACAGCGTCCCATAAGGATCCCGCATGCTATTACTTGACGGTAATTAGTGACGCATCCCTTCAAAAAGAGACAAGGAGAGTGCAGCGAAAACATCGGAAGCTGTTCAAGTCTACCTCACTTTTCATCCTTCCGGAGCTGACCAGCTGACAAACTTGTATGGAAATATTCGGCTCGCACAGACGGCTTGGTAGCATAGCGCTCATCACCCTACAAGTAATTGAATGGCCCAGCGGCGTTTTCAACATTGTCTAAGGTCAGCTTTGTAGCGCGTTCCAGCCAGAAGACTTTGTGCTCTTAAAGCCTTTATCCAAAGAAAGATGGCGCCCTAAGAACTTTGGAATAGCGGTGCGGGGGACAGCATATGTATGGCATCGGGAAAAATTGTATAAAAGAGCCACGATTTCGTAGACTATTCAGAACAGTGAAGGGTTTTGAAGAGATTTTTAGCCAGGGCTAATCTACATATATAACATCCTTCTTCTCAACGTTACACCTAAGAAGGTTACGGATAAACTATTACTTTTTCAGATCCACTCGTCAGGTGTGGTAACATTTAGTCCGAATGAGCTATCTCCATCAGCTCTACCGGTCACTGAGCCAGTACTGGCAACATATTGGATGTCAACTGAAGGAGCCACGGTGTATTACAGAGAAACTGATGGTAAGCGTAAAACGACTTTGCGTTAAACGCTTGAAAAGATAACCAAATTGGACTGCTGTGAAAAATAAAGATGAAGAAGATGTTGAGAAATGATCCTAGTTATTGTAGGTGATGGAAATGAACCTAAAGACACATCGCGAACCGGGTGGGCTGGAGACTTACATACAGTTGCGGGCGCCTTACTGAAACGCGTATGTTCTTCGGATACGGTGAAGGGGAGGGGCGCGCAATGAGAAGGGCTCAATTGGTGATGAGTCTCCTTGCTCGGGTATTGTCGGCGGAATTTGTCCTTTAAATGGTTGACTCGCCAGGAACTACTAAACCTTTTGCCTCAGAAAACCTGGAGTCAGGTGCATTGCCTATGTTACTGAAGTAGTCCATGACATATTTCATCCCAGCATTGTGAATTTGGCGCACAACGAAGTGAACATTCAGTATCGCTATGGCTCCAAATTCCGGGTGAAAAGCGTTCTTATCATCACCTGGGAAGGAGGCGACCGGAAAACTCGGTAACGAGATAGACAATTTATTTTCATCAGATTTTCAATCACTGACACTTTATGAGGCTTTCGCACTGCAAAATACGGTTATAGGATTCTGAAGGCAATCTCTTTCAACTGGCGTTAATCATCGGTGACTCGATGACCTTTGCACATTTCGTTTACAGTAAACTCAACTCCAACGACTATGCTGTGGTATGTTACGTCCGTTTAACAAGATCTTTGAAAAATACTTAAAGGATCCTTGATAACTCAACCCGAGAGTAGGGAAATAAGCACAGGAAAACGCGTCTCTGCATCGATTCGCTAAGATACCGAAAAGACCTTTCACGGTATAAATGGGCGTTGGATTGAGCCACAGAACGCAAAAGAAGGGGTTATCATACCTCCCTGAAGAACTGAAAACCATGTGCTTCTGGGAGTGAACACTGGGTGGAAACAACGGCAGAGAGCGGAAGTTTATTGGAAGAGGAGATATCTTCCCCTCGAAACAAGATATAGCCTATGGCCCCTGATCGCAGCACTTGAGCAGTCACTGCCAAGAAGCTCACAGAAGGATCAACTGCCACAAATCAAAGAGGCTAATATAAGACCCTTGGCTTACCAGTCACTGCTGCGCTTCCCTCCGTTGTTAGCTAGAGGCCAGCCATAGACTCAAAAAAGAGGAAAAGGTCAGGGACGGTCTGCGGGAGTTCACTTGCAGGCAGAACATCCAGCAGATCACAGGAGGTAACGAAAAACATATTCCTCCACTGGCGACCATTACCCAAACTGATGAGTACTGCGTCTACTACCGGTAACGAACCTGATTCTGAAGACAATCATATTCCAGGCTGGATTTTCTGCGATGAACTCATCATACTCGCTACCGGATTCGGCCACACATGATGCGATGCTTCTCTCGGAGAAGAGCGACATCGGCATACCAGGAGAATGGCTCTTCAGAGTTGACGGTCGTCAGGTAAGAGACGCGTTTAGCTTTTTCACTATAGAATATTCTTTACCATTCATTTTTCGGTCCGGCCTCTCGAAATATGAGAGAAATCCCTGACCAGAATGAAATTTAGTCCAGTGTATGTTTTGACCTCTACACCACAACCCTTATATCGTTATGGCGCGAAAAGCCTGCAAAAACCGAAATGCAACCCAAATTTTGAAAACTGAGGTCGTGACATAGAAAACCAGCAATCTTTTGACTAGCCATATTTCGAAAAAAACTGTGCTCTTGACAACCATCCTTCCTTTGACACTTTTCAGTGGAGCATCAAAAAAGGTTATACCGTAACACCCGAGACTTGAGCTACCAGATTCGACCTTTTAAAGGAGCGTCAGCGTTCATTTGATGTTCCTATGCCCTTCCTCACATATCGTAGCTTTGCCGACAAGGGTGGAGGTTGTACTGATTTCGCCGCTCAAAATACGAGAGGATGGCGCCACCGCCTTGTGAAGAGGATGCCGCCCCGCCCACTTGGCTGCTTTGGCTTGGCCTTTAAAGGCTGAGCCCGCTCTCAGTAATAATGAGTTATGGAACTCATATAATACTTGATCCAGTAGTGAAGAAAAAGCAGAAAAAAAATCATGGAAAAAGCCCTATATAGAACTATGCTGCCCAGGTGGGCGGGTGGGGGGGGGGCGCTCTCTTCACTAGCGAACAACGCATCTTTTCGCCTTTTAAGATGCAAAACTAGTAGGCACTGCATTCTCATAGGGAGGGCTATTATATCCAGAGAGGGCGCGCGGAACATCAAATGAATGTAGGCGCTGCCTTCAACTCATTGAACTTTCTGTACCGGTAAAAGTTTTGAATGCAACTTCAGATATACCTCTGCGGGGCAGGTTTCAAAGGGCTTGAATGTATCGACAGTTGTGCACCATCGCAATGGTTCAACGACTGCTCAATGAGGTACGTCACGCCTATCATTCGAAATCGTTTTCTCTATATTAGATTCCAGACCATTTCTCCAGATGATCTAAAGATTATTTCGTTACTTGAATTTTCTACCTTTTTTTCATGATGAACTACTAACGACCTGCGTTCTTTTTGCTTTGAGAATATTCCCTGAAGTCCTTTGTGAGTAAGATGCTGAAACCAGTTGAACTTCGAGGATTTGAATTTTGAAGTTTCTCACCTCCTATCGCTAGCGCCAAGTAAAGAGTTTTAAATACTAATCCAAATACCGTCTCCACCATATGAATCAATGAGAGCACATGTCGCAAGGAGAGGGGTGTGGGAGGGAGGGGGGCATCACAGCTTAGCTAGTTCCTTTTGCTAGTTCATGTTATTCAACAGGTTTGACATTGGTGTGACCTGTGAACTCTCTGAAACTAAGGAAACAATTTGATTACAAGTACTTACAAGCCTTCACTGTGTGATCTATTAGAGTACCGGTGAATACTTATCGGTACCCCCCCCCAAACCAAACTTCGAGTTTTCTTATAGTGTTAAGGTGCCTTTTCCAGCCAAAAGGAGGGGCCTTCCTTAATTCTGAACATATTTTTCATTCAGAGACGTGATTCCCTGATACCTTGCCATAAGCTTGAAGCTTGAACCTACGCATTGAATAGGAGGGAGGGAGGGTGGAAACCAATGCTAAAAACCGCGTACTTTATAGGACACTCCCAGACGTTTATGGGATCCATTTCATTCCTCCAGCTACACCGGAATAATGAAAGGCTTGGTTGAAGGCGCGGGATTCAATTCAAGATCTTCGCGTTGTGTGCGCGATGAGTGACCTGCCCCTCCTCCGTGTGCCCACCTTTCATGCCCCGCACAGCCTCACCGACACACAAAAAGATATGCATACATTGGTTGGGGCTCAACAAAAAAGCCTGTGCTTCGCTGCTGTCAACAGCCGAAAGCGCATCATATGCTGCGTGAAATGTCATTTCGATCTCTGTGCCCTTCCCAGTTGGTGATCCTTCGAAAATGCCAAGGAGAAAGAGTACGCCAGTGAGAAAGGCAGAGCGGCCCACATGACTCCGCCCCAGCGACCAACATGGACTGTGCCTCCGAAGGATGGCTTCAGAATCATAGTTTCGGCCAAGCTCTGGATGGGACCAGGCTACACAACCCAGAGAACTAGAGTAGTATGAAAAGACATTCAGAGTGTTCTTAAAATAGAAGAGAGTACATAAACGTACGAAAAGACAAACTTTCTTGAATGTACTTACAATACTTGTAAGATAAGCTTTTTTTCTCGAGTTCCTTGGCTTACTCTTCTCGTGAAGATCTATGACTTATCTGTGTCTCGTACAGCTGTCATTGTGACGGTGGTGATCCGTGCGATCAAGAAACGGGTCGATGCCCGAATGGTCGATGTTCACCGGGATGGAAAGGCGCTCCCATCTGCGATGAAGGTTCGTTTGAAACTCACACCATTTGCGATCAAATGAAACATATTTTCCCATGTTGCAAGCACCAGATTTTATTTTCTGAAGTCCTTTTTCTAAACTTCGGTTCCTTCTACTTCCCTATTTTCGATCCCTTTCCCAGTTTCCCCTTACCCTTAAAGGCAGTTGGCATGATGATTTGGTGCTGGGCCTAAATTGCTAGTAGGACGCTATATAGTGGGGAAATGGCGAAAGAACGGAGTGAAACGGTCAAAACCCTGCGAAGAAGGAGCCTCCGTTCTCAATATCTTAGATATCAATTTTAGAAGAGTTTCCTATAGGCATCTTGCCAATAACCGCTACCGAAGGTCGGCTGCATATGTGCACTCATATATCCATGCACCATCACAGCCGCTTCATACCAATCCCTTTGCTTCATAATTTACTTGGCAAATGATTCGATTAGAGCGTCAGGAACGGTCGTCCATTTGTGGGCGGGCGGGCGTAGCGGGTGTTGCGGTCGGTATGTTATGGCTAAAGTCCTTATAAGGGCACTTTCCTTGGGAAAGGCATTATGCAGCGCCTGCTCAGGAATTTTGTCCTGCCAGGCGTATTAATCCTATGGGGGTATTTATCGTGCCAACTGCCTTTAGTGCAGACCCTCTCGATCAGCCAAAATGGCTCCCCCCTCAGAGGGGTAAAGACCACCTCCTCGTCAAAAATTCTCAACTATGATCGAGCCTGGTTTTGGTTACTTTGTACGTTAGCCAATCGGGTACGCCCTGATTGAAAAGAATTGGCAAATATTAATAGAACAATTCCAAATTCAGATGAAGACGAATGCGAAAGGGCTGACGTGTGCCCGTCAGCTCAGCCAGATTGTTTGAATACTCCCGGATCTTACCTATGTATCTGCTTTGAATATGATGAACAAAATAAACGCTGTAAAGGTGAGAATGTCAGGCAAAGTTGCCATCTCATTCACGATTTCAGACACTTGTCAAGGCACGGCGCAGCCTTGCTTACAGCTCTGTAATATGATGAAAGGCTCACGATCAAATTGTCCTTTTATCCGATCAGGTTCATCAAAACCAGAGTCATCCGAAGAGAAGATTCCAGTGGAAGTGATACCTCTACAGCCATCTTTTGGTCGAGCCACGCCTTCTACTAAGTCTCCCATGGTCCGCAATCGATTCCAATCCATCACCCCATCTACCACGTCAACGACCACCACTCAGCAATCGACTACGGTACGTAGAGCTGAAAAACCTTAGTCGTTCCGGTATCAAGATGCCTTTTCAGACACGACCGACTACAACTTCGACGACGTCCACGACAACCCAAACGCAGCCCGTCACCGCCAAAGTGACAGAATTCAAGCCGGTGAAGGTGAAATCGGTGAGAAAGTTTAATGTGTTCCATAACCACTTCCATTTCCTTCCATTTCAACCTGGTGCCATCACATTCGAACAGTTTTGACGTAGCGATCCAACTCTGGTAATCTTTTCTCAATCCAAAGATGCAGTCCACTTGATCGTATGGGCGGAGCCGGCCCACCATTGCCATTCCTCTTCGGTCCACCCCTTCGACGCCCTCAAAAAGAGCACTTGAAGATGCAATGGTTGACGGTTTCCATCCACACAGTCAACACAGACCTTGTCCTAAAGAGAAAAGGAAGAGATAACCAGATGGAAAAAGCAGAATATATGGACCCAGAACCAGAAATTCGAAAATTTTAGAGAAAAGCGTATAAGTGCATCTTCACTCAAATCACGTAATAACAGCTTCCATCAGGATGTGTAATATTTGGCATTTTTAGTCACCTCAAAACTGTCCACCTTGCGACAGCCACGCTTTTTGTCGTGATGGGCAATGTGTATGCCAACCCGGCTGGAAATCCTATCAGAACATGTGAGCTTTCAACTTTGATCTACTTTATTCATTCGCCTTTTTTATATTTTTCTCTGTTCATTCACCCGTTGAAAGTTCCTTCATATTTTTACTACGGTGCGTGAAAGGCTGGAATGTGACTTCATTAGACATCATTTACCTATCATGGCTTCACATCTAAGAACTCGTATTCGAGGTAGTTTTACCAGCAAGTATATAATCACATCGGTTTGTCCTGGGAATTCCCCCCCCCTCACCCCGGCGTTATTCGAGGTTCTTACTGAAAGGTTCCAATGGCAGGGGTACCCCCCGTTGGAACAAATCCTTGAAAAATCGACGTCCCCGTGTATCACCTCAGATACGCCCTCCACCCTTCAGTAGCCCCATCCCACCCATTCCCTCCACTTTCCTAGTTTTCAGGAGTTTTTGTTATGGAAACTTCTCCACCTTTTCCCTGATAGCTGCCTATATGGCACACTGAGCAGGCGCGACTTTACTCGCTGGGGATCCTCTACGTAGGACGTGCTCTGATCATAAACAGTAAAAGTGCCGAGCTTCATACGGTCAGTTCCAACCGGAACGACAGATGAATGCTTCCTACTTGCGACCATTCACTCATAAAGTATAAAAATTTCACCAGATGCGTGGCACATGAGAAGTAAATGACCCTTCGAAAATATCATCGTAAAGTCAGGTTCAGCGGAATCTTCAATGCCAACTTGTTTGAGAGGACCACTCCACAGTGACTCTGTGCCTCTTCTTTCAGATAGTTTCTACCCGACTCGACTGTCTGTACTTTTGGCTGGGCCGAAAGTGCAGACAGTCAGAGTCGGGTAGAAACTATCTGCTCTGCGAGAGTGAACCACAGCCTTTGACCATCCTCGCTTCGACCCAACCCTTGGTTGGGGAGTTGCGGAGAGAAGTGAAGGCTCTGTGGAGTAGTCCACGCCCTCCCTGCATAATCACCACCCCAAAATTTGTTATTTTCTGTGTTTTTCAAGATGTGTCGATGTTAACGAATGTGCCGAAGAGCATGTTTGTGGATCCCACTCCACATGTGTGAATCGGCCGGGGAAGTTACGACTGTGTTTGTGATAAAGGCTATCGATTTGAAAACAATGAATGCGTCGGTAAGTCAATCCTTAAGAATTACACTGTGACAGCTAGCTAGCCGCCTTGGTTTTCACCATTTCAAAACTGAGATTTCTGTACCGAATGCTTTCAGATATCAATGAATGCCGTGAAACATCTCCCTGCACTGACAACATCGGTGTAGAATGCGTGAATCATCCCGGTTCATATTGAGTGTCGTTGGTAGGACGGCTTACTTCGACGGGAGACCTCGAAAAGGATGCTCTGGTTAGTTCCCATCTTCGCCTTAACATTACTGGAATGATTTCTTTGGACCGAGAACGCTTGCTTTCCGAGGGAATGAGTAAAGTGATTGTGTAAGGAGGTACCATAGGAACTTTAACCCCGACCTGCCCCATCTGACGTAGATGTATCTTTTCAAAAAGCCACAGGAGCTGTATCACTGCCCTTTGGGATGCACATCAGAAAAGCTGCCTTCCGCGGCCTTGATCAGACAAAAAACCATGGTTCTGTGGTTGTGGTTCTGTGATGTGGTTCTAAGGGAGGTACTCCCTAAGACTGAACCCGGCGGTGAGAAGCAGTACAGCTCAGAGGATTGAAGCAGCTCCGACGCCGACTAAAATGGTCAAAAAGAAAAAATGAGCCCGGTTCCCATCCTGCCTTGACTAACCCTTGGTCAAACCATGCCATAGCCACACATGGCAAGTTTAAGGGACGAGCAAGGCATGGATAGTTGCTCCAGCTCCAACCAGCTCAAAGGATGAGGAGCTGGTTGAAGACAGATGCCGTGATTAGGTGTCATGGATAGTTACTGATCAATTATCAACCAGCAGCCGATAAGTAATTCCCAAAGAAGAAAACAAGCAAGAAGAATCTTCAAGAACACCATAAACGAAATCGACACCTGACAGTCACACCGCCCTGCGGTCTCGTTGCATTTCCTGGCTCACGAATCGCTTTTCGCATGTCCCACTAGTAAATATTTCCCACTGCAAAGAAAATAGTACAAGGAACGACGGGAAACTCGTAACAAAAAGGAGCTTCCAAAAGCTCTGCGCCCAAATTTAGGATTACGAGAGCGTGCATCTTTCAGCGCAGCTGAGCTTTTGCACCGAAAAATTGCACCACTGGTGATTTTAACACTTTTTACCTTATGAAATGGGTTGCAGTTGACTGTATGTGCTCCTAATGAATAAAATGTGATGAAGGAGAGCAGAATTACTTATGGACAGGAGCGAGGTCAGCCAAAAGGACACACAATTCCAATACCCGCCGCCCCAGCTAACAACTGAGCTGCCCTGCGTCATATGTGGAGAGAACATCTGACAAGTGGGCGTTCCAACTGATATGGTGTTAGAACTAGAGGTTTCGACGGCTGTGGCACCCTCCTCGCTCCTGGGGATTCACGAAGTGGGACAGTCTCCTAGCTGGGCGGGCTGAACTGCTTGCACAAGCAAGAACGACCACGAATTCTTGAGCGCAGGGGGCTGTCTTTAGAGTTGGGCAAAGGGTTCCGACCGCGCCATGGCACCACCGTGACGCGCATTTGCGCACGACAGAAAAGGAATACAGGGATCATGAGGAATTCGCAGAATTACAAGGTTTCTTCTGAAGGCCGGAATTGCGGTCTGCGTCCGTCCTATGCGGTAAAGTTACTGGCAAATACTCCTCCTCCTCCAGAGTAAACGGGGAAGAAATGTTGCCATGAATAGTAACGGAACTCTAAGTGCGCTATGATTTGTCATAAAGGATCAGGTATCCCTATCAGGGCGCTCGCTGCCTTTGTGCCTGCAGTATGCGGGTCATGCAGACCCTCGATGCAAAGTAGCATTGCGAACGCTCACTGAAACTTACACCTCTTGTCGCATTTTAAGTCCCAAGGCATAAGCTGTTCCCCTAAGCTTCACAGACTCCACGGTCATTAGATGGGTGGAGACCCGTTGAGGAACGCGCTAATGAGAAAGGTATAGCGGTTGTGAGCTGTCGTCCACTCTCATAAAAGTTTTTAGAGAAGATGCAAGTATGGTCCTTCTGATTAGATATTTAAAACTACATCCAAGATATTAACAACTTTATTTGGCTTACGTTTCGGCCTTGTCGCCTTCGTCGGAGCCTTAGGAGAGCACGGCTAGCTTGAGTTTCGAACACCGCTAAACCAACGCGAACCGAGTTTAGCGGTGGTCGAAACTCAAGCTAGCCGTGCTCTCTTAAGGCTCCGACGAAGGCGACAAGGCCGGAACATAAGCCAAATAAAAGTTGTTAATACCTTGGCTGTGGTTTTAAACATCTAATCAGAAGAACCTCACACGATGCCAAGTTTCATTGAAAGTCGATCATGGGCAAGTACGATTGTGGTAAAAAGTCAATAACGTCACTGATTTCAGACATCGACGAATGCAGTCTGGGCACTCAGCACTGTGGTCCACATGCTAAATGCATTAATACGGTAGCTAATTCTCAACAATGTTGCATAATTTTCTTCTGCTTGAAAAAGGAAGTGACCCTGAGTACAGTCTTCAAACCTCTTAACCACCTCTTTTCCTAGCCCCTAGACAATTTTACAGAGAGCCAATTTTCCCTCTGACTGTCACGTCTGCTGAAAAGACGTCTGCACAATTTTTGATTCCCCCCCCCACCTCGGGCATGGTGATGTCACGTTGGCGGCTTGATATACTAGAAACCATACGATACTATACTAGATACTAGGTACCATGCCACGTTTCTTACGCATGTTTCAAACAGACAAAATGACATGATTTTGTGATGATTACGGCTATAAAAGTGGACGTGGTTCAAGACATCCACTATGCGGATATACTCCCTGGAAGGGGCGTTACAAGCCAACGCGAGGCACAAGGACCTAAGGAAGCATCCAGACTTCGCGATGGTAGCGCTTGGGTTGCGCGTTCGACGCGATTGATGCAGTAGAAAGCATGCACATTGCGCGCCAAGCGGCAGAGGCGCTGCCGTCGCGAAGTCTGGACGCTGCCTAATTGGTTTGAACTCTGATCTAATGATAAGGGGCTGTAATGTGTCAACTAGCTAGGGAATAGATGGAATGGCTGGGCGAATCCCATTAGACGATCGTAATGGTTTGCCGTGGAAGGATAGTCATAATTCGCCTCGGGAAACTTTATCACTTTGTCGTTTTTCCCGTTTCACGCTACATACTCCTTAGGTTGTGTGAGACTGTCGTACCAAGACCTCAGTGGAGTTGTACTGTCACCAGTCTCGCTAAACCCAGTGATGTGTCCTAGTTCAGCAACACTGCAGAAACCTTCTCTCATTATAAGAGAAACTTCAGGTCGGCGGCTACGAATGCGAATGTTTGGCTGGATTTGAGCGAATTGCTGAAGGAGCCGGCTGTACGGATATCGACGAGTGCTTCCTGTCAGTATGCCACCCAGCCGCTTCATGTGCGAACCTTGTCGGCTCGTTCTCATGCAGCTGTCCAGACGGATTCGTTGGTGATGGAATGCAATGCCATGGTTATTATTCTTTTCTTTTCATAACGCATACCACTGAGTTTTCGAGTTTTCCCTCATAGTGCTACCATCACTTACTACAGTGTATGACACGCGAGCCTTACAAGAGATCTATACCCAGGCATCTATTTCTAAGAACCCTACCTAAGAAGTGGAAGACGCTTCCAACATGCTGACACATTTATTGCTGACACAGTTATGTGCTTTCTCATGGATATGCAATCTACTTTACTTCCAGAAACAATCCTCTATCCAATCGCCAACGATTCAATTGTGGTGCCACGAAAGGCAGATGCAGTAGCTACCATCAATTTACCGTCACCCGTTTTTGTGTTTGGCAAGCCGTACGACAAGGTTTATGTGAGTCTTTGTCTTGTACGTTAAAGATCGTTTGTGGATCACATCATGTACAATCCATATCCCGGAAATGGGGAGGGCGTGGCTTTGCGCTTCATCCCAACATGGAGTGCGATGTGGCATGAGACATTTGAACTCGAGATAACTGTCATCCTGTCTTGTGCTGCACAAAGACACGTTGACGATATTCCAAGATGACACTACCCCACTGAAAGCGCGGCCTCCGACACACCTTCTTTAATTTCGGGACATGGAATTTAGAGACTGATTGCCGCCAATAATATATCGCACTGGCCAAATTCCTGCGAGTTGCAAACTTCTTTTTTTAGCTGTCATCCAATGGTGTGCTATCGTTCGATCGGCCGTTACCTGGTCTTATTGAGCGAGCTGAGTCACTTCGAGAAGCAGCTGTATTCGCTCTTCATGTACAGTACGACTATGCTAGAGAAGGTCTCGTAGCGTACACCTACATCAATGGTAAGAGTTGTACTTCTGCACGTGGGTAGTTAAGTGTTGCACCTTGAACGAAAACATGACTGTTACGCGGACTCGTTTCGCTGGTATCCGCGCAGTTCTCAAGCTCATTGACGAATCAGGGCTATCTCGAACAGCTAATGTCTCGTCTCCTAAGAATGATAGGCTTTTATGGGGCTAGTGTTTCGGCATCAACCGTCTTCTTTGCAGTCTTTTTCTCAGAAGAAGCTCTAACAAGCCCGCGCCTCCTATTCAGAGCTATGAGAACCAGTTTTGGGGACAATTTTACTTAGATCCTCTATTCCATTCAAAACATCATTTGCAAGTCTTTTTTATGGGTTAACCATGTAAAGTAATCTATATCGGGCTACGTAATGCTAGTGGAGAGATACCCCAAAAAAGCACGGGTACAACTGCCCAGCGTGCACTATCTTGTACCCTGTTTCTGTGAACACCATTAGCTAATCCGCTTCATCACACCTTCATCACTCATGGAGTCCTTCTGAAGAAAATTATAGGGAATAGCCAAATAACCCCCATCCCTACTATACTTAAAGACAGCGCCCGCGTTCATTTGTTGTTCTCACGCCCTCTCTGGATCTAGTAGCTCCCCTTATGAGGGTGGTGGACGTGCATGTTTCGCAACCCAATAATGCGACGGAACAGCGGCGTCCGCCCGCAAAGAGCCGACGGCTCCGCCCACCTGCCGACCACGCCAAACTTCATTTCTAACGGTCGCCTGATGGTGCGGTTGTTCCATTGCTCACGTGGAGTGGTGAGAGTGAGGTGATAAGGGAAAACAGCTGATATGAACAAGTGGAAACTCGTGCAATCACTGCTTCTCTTCGCCTTAAGCACGTACAACCGTTGTTCGGTTTGAAACACCTTCTAGGGCATTTTGCGTGTTTTCTCTTTGATTTTTCTTCACTAATAGGCTTCTTGATACCTCGCTGTTGCTACCTGAGCCTACTCACTGTATTTGAACGCGGGCGCTACCTTTAACTCCTTCATTCCTTGACGGTTTGAAGGCGCATATGACGTTGGTCGTATGGACGGGCCAGCTAGACGTGCCCTTCCTCTTTTTCGGTGGGTCTCCCCCACTATTTACATGATGGCAGGTGGATAATGCATCAGTAAGAAAGGATAGCAATCTGCAGTAACTTCTTCCAGCAAGGACAGTGCTTTTTGAAGACGTAGTCCACGATTACCCGACAAGAAGAATCTCCTCCTTGCACAGGGTGGCGCTGTCCGCAATAGCAGAAGATGTGCCACTTCCGCGGATCGAAAGTGCTTGTTATGAAAGCCAGGGCTCTGCCACGACAGCTGAGCTCCGCCACGGAACTATATATTCACATTTTCCACTTCGTCTTACCGTTGCTAAACAACCATGGGGCCTTACTCGTCTGAGCACTCTCGATTTCGTTTGGTGTTTCTCTGCTCAGTACTTTTTTTTGTTCTCAAAATTAGGGCTCTTGGGACGCAGGACTCTGATTAAGAACGTCTCTGACGGTTCTTTCTGTTTTTCTTCTTGACCGATGAGCATCCTTATACTGATATCTGAATCCCCTATGCAAGATTTGCAACCATGAAGCGCGCCTTCAACGATTAACTTTCAATTAACTTTCACCACTTTCAACAAGTTGAAAGCTCGTGTGAACTTTGAATGGGTTTTATGTAATACAAATCAATTTCAGAGTCTGATTCGTCCGGGTATTCACTGTTGAGCCGCTCATCGATCGGAGTCCAGAATAACTTCCGTCTAAGTGATTTCCGCACAAAAACACTTCATCTCTTCACATTTGACCGCATGCGGCAGGCTGGCAGCGAAAATGTAAGTAAGCAACGCAGGCGTACTACTTGTACCTGTGAACTTCTCCACCGAATTCTTCGAAATTCTCAATGAACCACTTCAGCTGAACTCATTCCAAATCGTGCTGGCGCAATCTGATGAGGCCACGATGCTCACCTTGATTTATGAAAAGACTCAGTCAAAAGGACCAATGACAGGTATACAGCTGTTTCACGCTCGAGTTCATCGTTTCAATTCCATACGATGATGTTAAGGTATCGCGTCACCGACATCACCGTTCCACCTCCTTCCCAATGACATGCTTTCGTCGCACTCTAATGTTGGTCAACCTGGGAAGTGGATGTTCCGAATCGATAGTAGCCTCGCGGCTTGCCCAGCTGGTACAGAGCATCCACCCCTGTGCGACAAAGGTAACCTCAAAACAAGCTCATCTTTCATTTTCTCTGTATTCTTCACAAGAAAGCCGAAAAGAACAGATCATTACCCAGAATTGACGAATTCAGACTGTCCTCGTGGAAAATACGGATTCTCGTGCCAGGGTTCATGCCATTGCGCTGCGGGATTCCCATGTGACACAGCAACAGGAGTCTGTGCAAACGGCTGCGCTCCAGGATGGACGGGTTCAAACTGCGATCAAGGTTAGCGACAGAGATTCATTATTTAATTCATCTCTAAGAGACAAAGAAGTGTTCAAAGGCATTGTAACAGGTATCCCGCCATTTTGAGATTCAGCACGTGCACTATTAGGAGGCGCGCACGCATATTGAAGCGTGCCAGCACGTTTGGGAACTGCAAGCTCCCTGCATCAACAGCAGGTAGACACGAAAAACACCAGAACCTGCCCCTCCGCATATCCCGCGATGCAGTACTGCGCACTTGTTAGCGTATTCCATCCCTTCAGTTAAAGTCTGTTGAGTTAGAAGCAGAACACGCGTGAAATACGGTAGGCTGTGTGGGTGTAATAAAAGTGAGATGTTACAAAAAGGGCATCACTCTCATTTTGCAGACATTGACGAGTGTGCCACTGGTATGGTCCGCTGCGGTACGAATGCCGAGTGTAACAACACCGTCGGTGGATATGAATGTCGCTGCCGAAAAGGTTACGCTGGCGATGGAAAACAGTGTTCTCGTGGGTTACCTACGACTTTCCGGATTTTTTCTAGTAGTTTCCAGAAGTTTTCCTTCACTCTTTAGCAGTAGAGCGATGTTATTCACGATTTGGACGATCTTGTTCATCAAATGGGTCTTGTGAGGAATCCCTGGACGGACCGCGATGTGTCTGTACACGAGGTTATCGTGGCGATGGATTCATATGTACTCCTCAGACGCCGATTCATTCCTCTGTTGAAGATATTACGTCACTTCTCAGGAATGAGCATGGTCAAGGTAAGGTTGTCAAACTTCTACAATCGTCCCCTCTCAGTGGAACGACTGCTTCTAGATCATACCGATGCCGACGTGGGTGACCATCCATTTGTAATGACAGACTGGCAAACTCCTGCTAGAACGAATCCTCCACCAGCAACCACTCGAAGACGCCCCGGGTTGCAGCCTTGTGAGAATTGATATTGCTCATTTTTCGTTTTTTCTTGAGAAACGTTGAGAAATAGCTAACATTCAGCCACAACGATCAAGCCAGTGGAGAAATCCACTCAGCAAGGAGCTCAAGAAGACATGGCTGAGGCGACAACTCGTGAGTGTGAATAGTTGAAATTTCAGGTTTTGAATATCAATCATTTTTAGTGCTGTTCCTCATCGGCCCTGCTGTGCTCTGCGCCATATGGGTGGTCCTTGTTATCGTTGTTATAGCAGTTTGCTGCAGGAATAAGCAAAGGTACAATAGTTATTTTTGTTGAACGTGTGTTGTTGGAAGTAGTAGTAGCCTAACCATTCTAGCGCTCCTCTATGTTAACTTTTCTTTCGAACAGTAGAGCGGAAAACAGTTCATTTTACATGACCATTCTTCGTAAGCTTGTAGAATTCTCACTGTTTGGAGAGCCGAAACACAGTCCGCCCAGTCAATCTTCGCACTCACTCCCTAACAGCCCGAAATTGGCGACTGAAAGCAGCTTCTTGATCGTAAATATATATGGCGCTCCGCAGCTCTCAAAGAATACTTTCCATGCTTTTGAACATTTCAGTCAAAGGACACGAAGTGGTAAGCAAGGCATCTGGAGTCCTCCAACTCGCGGCACTATAAGCGCCCCATCGAACGTCACTCAGCAGTATCCATCACGAATACGACCTTTTGAGTCCTATTGATGCCACTGAGGCCAACGTCACTCACAGCGGTCACTCATTCCTTTGGGACGCTCCCGACATTTTGTACAGTCATCTTCCGATGCACTTATATCTTTCGCCTTTTTCTGAAGTTAGTACAAGTGACAGGAAAACTAAAAATCTGGAATCCACTCCAGTCTGCGTGGAAGACATCCCTGCTGAGTCATGTGCTAGATGTTCATTTTCCCATTTGCTTGTAAACTTATTAGATGCCGCAGGTGGCAAGAAATCGAATTGTCCATCGACATTCCGCGAATGCAGTTGCACAACTGTCATTACTATTGTACATTTCATGCAGAGAACTGTATCTGTTATGTTGTAATGCCCTTAGAATTGCTCACAGTGCTCATGTATTTGGGTACATTCTCATTCCCGAAACAAACAACACCTAAGTCGCCATTATGAACCAAGCAGCACCCGCAAAAATAGAGGATAGTTAAGCACGTGGTCACCAAGTGGCATAAATACTTGGCTACCGATCGTACCGTGCCGCACACGTGGGCACGATGGGCAGCTGTACAGGCGCCGCTTCGCAAAGGCACACTCACTTACTGCGCGAGTAACTGGGACTTTACACGAGCTTTCACTGGTATTTTCTTATCGCTAGGTATAATACTTTACCCATTACCTTTCGCCAAAACGACGGAGTTAACTATGCAATTATCGAGACTGTTTGATGTTTTGTTCATGTGTGCATTACAAATTGCTCATTTTTAATAATTTCAATAAACCTGACAACGCTTTGTATTGGACACAGATGCTGAAAGTCGAAAAATCGAGAGAAAAAAGCAGACCACAGGTATCATACTCCCCTCTAAACTTCTGAGAAAATTATCGTTAGTGTACTTCTGCCATACGTTAATGTACAGAACAGTCGTGAACCTTTGTAACAGCCACTAGTTTGTGGTCCGTTGTCTCGCTAGTAAAAGACATATATAGCATCTCCGGAAGACTACCATCGGGACAGGTCGCTTTTGGTCGCTGGGATAGCCTGATCTTTGGGGCAGGGGTGACTAAGTACACAACAGGCAAACGATGATAATGAAGTCGTGGATTATGAATTTCTCAGGTTCACTGAGTTACATCGGCTTGCACGAGCAACCCTTATATGGAAGATACACCTTCCTATCATGCTAGCGTAGGAGTCGAATGGATGGTGCACAGAAAGCAAACAAGAAGACCTACTAAAGTTCCGAATGACTTTTGTTGCGAAAACATAAAAGGAATCAAGCCTTTGAGCCTCAAATCATCCGGAGTGTCTTTGAACTAGCCTTTGTCCAGAAAGTGTCCAGTGTGTTTTGGAGAGCGGAATTATTCAAGACCAGTAATGCTCCCGGCTTCGCGAGTAATTGCGCCCTGAGCTAGGAGATTTGCAAGAATACATGGGGTATTAAACTGGTTTTCCGGAAAAAAATAACCCGCTCTAATGCACAATAGTAGCGATGTGTGCAAATCTCAAGACAAGCGCTTCTCGAAGGAGTTCTGTTGACGTGTTCATTCTATTCATCACGATGCTTTAGCCTGGTGGGTGAGCGAGCGTATTAAAAACCTTCCAAAGAGAAGAACATGACTTTGAGTAGAATGCTCAAGGGGGCTACAACTTCCTCAGGTAGAACAACGCATTACTCACAAGCAGTCTAAAAGAAAGTAACATCGAGGTCACAGGAGTGGGAGGACAGCGAATACAATAACTACATTTCATATAATCACCCTCTTGGTCGCTGCCCACCATTCTGATGTTTGTTCGAAGAACTACGGTGAAGGCAGAGTGAGCGTTGTTACTATTGAGGGTAACGGGGCCAGTGGCGAGGGCGGCATTGCCTTTCGGGTTAACATAGTCTGTTCTGGACAGAAGGTGCAGCATCCATCACTTATATTATTGATCAATCACCCCAAGTCTAGCATCTCTCTTCAACATGTGCAGCGCTTTACAGGGGGAGGCAAAAAAAGAACCTTTCTCCCTTGACTTTCGAGGCGCCATACGTCACTTCATTGAGTTCTGATCGGACATTTCTATCACCATATTAAAGAGCATATTAAATACTATTACGATTCTTCGCCACAGCCTTCTGGACGAGTGCCATCGAGATTCTGGCACGCGTCCCGAACGCGTGCCATAATCTCTCGATAGCGCTCGTCCAGAAGGCTGTGGCGAAGAATCATGATAGTATTTAATATGCACTTTTATCGAGATTCTGTGCCTGAGATCAGCGAGACAGTTGATTTCCCCACCACTGGACCACCCTATTGAACTCCGCCCGAACCAGGTAATTGAAGGGGTTTGGGTGACCTCCTCTGCTTAGATATTCCATCTTCTTCAGGTACTCAACCCCCTTCCAGTCGAAGTAGAAGAGAATTATACAACGCCCTTCGATTCCATGTGGTGTCACCCGATCCTGTAGCAGTACAAGTTTCCAAGAAAGTACGAGCGACGAAATGTGGAGAGGATATCCCCCTCCAGTTGCTCAATGTAACCGCCAATGCTCACCTTCAGACCGGGGTCCACGAAGAAAATGTCATTCTTTTCACTCCAGGTACGACCGGTCCATACCATCAACTCGCGTCTTGGCGACTGCGGCGAAGATGGTGTCCTTGACCGTAGCGACGTTATCGGAGCTGCTCGACGTTGGAGGGTTTCCATATTGAGAGTACTGGTCTCCGGTAGCTGTCCATTGCTGACTGCACACTAGAAGTTTCGCAGCTGTTTGGAGGTGACATGAACTCCAAAGGTCTTCAGTTAGGCTACGACTGGAGATGACTTCATATTTTGGTGTACATGAAGGTGATGAGCGAGAGCCAGCTCCTGCTTATCGAGGAACATCTTCGGTATCTTCCGCCCTGGTACTCGTATCCACATCCTCTGTCTGGGCTGCGAAAACTTTGTTGATATGTGACTCGGTCTTTTTTAATTGCCCCCCCCCCTCCTGTAGAGCTCTATTGAAATTTGCTGCCTACATTCCTTCCTTTAGAATCAGTGATGCTGCACGCACGGTCTGCACCGGGTACCTAGCGGAATCTTTGGAACGCATTGCAGAACACCTCCTTCTAGCGTGGACTTAAACACTGACCTCATGCTTTTAAATCGTGAGACCAGGACCAGTTTCCTGGCTAAGTTTAAAGCGGAACCTTTATTCCATAACTCTGTAAAATCGTTGTGCTGTTGTTGTTTTTATTGTCGCTGCTGCTGAGGTCAGTGTTGTTTATTGTGTTTCTTTTTTACAGAAGTGTTTTTGTTGTTTTTACCATGCTTTCATGGCTTCCGCCTAATTGTAAAAAAATAGAGCGGAGTAACTCAGTAGCCAATAACTTTATTCCAGTGCAGCCTTTTGAGCCGGCGGTGGTGTTTTCACTCCAGTCTTCTTTTTCATGTCTGCAAAAAATTCCAGGAATCAATTTCCTTCAATATGATTTATGTGTTTTGAGGGGACAGACAAATTAAAACATTACACGCGCAAATTGTAGGGTTGAGCAAACAATTCCTCAGATAGCCTATGTTTGATACCAGTTTTTTCCTTTGAGCAAACCTTCGCGACAACGTGTATATGATACGGTCCCTACTTCTGTCGATTACGTTACTCATGTGGGAGAACACCTATCCATATCCTTCTTCCAAACATGATGGTGCATAGCCGTTCTTGGCTGGTGGCGTTGTCCGGTTTATTCCGATAACGAGCGAGACTCTAGGGTGCTAAATAGTGACTGGATTTTTACGTCCACCCTACTTCTTAGAGGGATAAGCGGTGTTTAACCGCACGAGATTGAGCGATAACAGCTCTATGATACCCTTAGATTCCAGAGCTGCATACGTGCTAGAATCAGCTGGCCTATCCGCTGCCGAAAGGCATTGGCAAACCATTGAAACCCTGATGTAAGCGGAATAGGGAATTGTAACTATTTTCCATTGAACGAGGACTTCCTAGTAAGTGTGAGTCATCAGCTAGCTGATTACGTCCCTGCCATATGTATACACCGCCCGTGCTTTCCGGGACTGAGCTGTCTCGAGAGGACAGCGGACTGCTTATCGAGGCCTTTGAGTCGCGGTAAGGCGGGAAAACAGTTCAACCGCTGGCTTGAACCGGGTAAAAGTCATATGAGTGGAAATTGTGATCGTAATGGTGGCTACCTCCATTCCCGACTTATCGCGATTATTTGACTGTTTTTTCTCCGATGTTCAATCAGGTTCAAATCAAATAGCACTTGCCAGGTCCAGACAGCAGCGCGTATGACGTTAGTGCTTCCTAGTGTTTCTGGTGTCCGACTAGACATCTTTTCACGTGCAGATAGATAAGCATTGTACTGCACAATATAGGTATACTCCCCTTTTGACTACTTTTAGAGGAAACCAGCCGCAATATTCTCTGGTTGCCTGCACCACACTACTACGGATACAACAGCGTCTATTTCGAGCGATTCACGTCACAGTAACGTCATGGTGAAGCCATGCTGTTACTATAAGTGATCTCTGCGCCTCTATCCCCAAACCACATTTTGGCCGATTCGGCTACAGTGATCCCTCTGTCAGCGTCTACTACTAAATGTTAAATGTATTACCTTCCAAGGGAAAGGCTCAGCCTGCTGTGGATACTGAGTGAAGTTATCATCATGCGCCCGGGCGTTGGTGACTGGACAAAGGTTGATCTATTAGAGCACATAGATAGCAGCACTTGTCATTGTTCGAGTTCTCGTCGCGTACGCGCCAAGTGATGTAGACGACTGACGACTTGAAGTTGGGACAAAACAAGGAAGTATCAACAAGAACATAAGAGCTGCCCATAAGACCAGTCACCTAGTTCTCAAGGGAAACCTAGCACTTCTATCAGAAATATAGTAGGGGAACGTCATGAAGTCATGAAGCCAGTATCTGATGTCGTGGCGTCTAACCTTAGTTTGACACCAGGAATTTCATCTCAGAATGAGTCAAGAACCACAAAAAACTTTTTGGAATGAATATTTCATCGCCTGTTGCGCTAGACAGCGCACATCGAAAATGCTACATCGATGTTGAAGCACCTCTGCGCTTGTTTCGAATCAAATATGCTCAAATTGGGGAAACGACTCACCACGTATCATCCCTTTGAGCAGCGCAGATTTCTTTTTCTTATGTTTCTTTTTCTTCTTCCTCGGTAAAGATGAGCCAGTACTGGATGTCGACTTCTTGGCCGATGTAGGTGGGTTTTCTGGCTTCTTGACAGCAAAGTAATCACGCAGCTGTTTCATATCCATTTCACCTGTTGCTTTCTTTTGACTAGCACCCTAAACTACATTTCAAGAGTACACACACAAGAAAATCACCTTAAGTAGCTGTAGTGATTGTTAGACGTACATGTACTTATCCCGAAAATGCGAAGTTTGTGATGGCGCACTTCATTTGAACGTGTAGGCGGCTGCCATGGTGGAATGAGGCTATTTTGGTGCAATCATAATTACGGACGAGATTCGTCTCGAATCGAAATGCCCCACGAAAAACGCCTACTGTGCCACAATCGAATGAGGTACGCCAGAGACGCCCACCCTATCTCCGGGATATAGAGTGTACATTTGTGAACTTACATATAAATCTAGATCTTTCATAGCTAACGTATCATCATCTGCATGATCTGTGAATGCTCCATGTGAGACTTCAATTTTTTTGCCATTCAAAAACGAATACTTGACTCTTATCTGTAAAGTAATGAGGTCTCCTAAATTGTAAAAAGTACCCACGTGGATATACTCACGTGCTCTGGTATGGATGAAATAGATAGAGCTGTTTCCACGGAATCCTAAAGTTAGCAAGTTTTTTTCACAACATATACAGCATTACAATAGCTGAAGAAACAGAAATAGGGAACACAGAAAGCAGTGTCTTTAACCCACGTCTGAACTCCCTTCACTTGCCGTACTGTCCTGAAAAACGGTTCTCAGAAAATTATCTTATTAGAGAATGTAAAAGTGTTCAGTGTGACCTTTGAGCTCCACTTTAGAACCTGTGCTCCTCTTGCCCCACCCCCTTAAGCGTACATACATCGAGGAGCAGTTACGGGAACACCCACAACCTAAGTGGAGACTCTTACTCACTGTGGCTTCTTCACAGCCATCTGCCCTCCTCTTTGCCACATTCGGCGCACTAGGAGGAAGACACAATGGTTATCAGTTACCCATACGATTATAGCGGAACCTGCTGTTCAGGTAAGGTCCATTCGGGGTCATGTATGAGAAGCCTAGCATTTCACCAAGCGCTGCGAAAAGTCACCTGTAATGTTATTGCAGTCTTTTTACTCTAAAATTTATGTCTTTCTCTCCGTTCTTTATCTTTCTCAATTCCTAGGGGCATGAGCCTAACCGATCGATATGCGACGCTCGGCCAGTCGATGCCTGGTTCCCGCCGAGTGTGACGTCACCCCTTCGAACGGACCAATGGCCAGCGCCACTTCCGCCCCTATATAAGGGCCGGCTATTTCTGAGATGATTCAGTTTAAGCTAGCGTCAGCTAGACAGTAGTGTCCTCGGACACCACTGTTCCAACAAACTTGTCTACCAGTCGATTGTCAGCTCGACCTCCCTTCCTTGTTGCCTTCAATACATGGAGACTGCGTTCAACCCGGAGCAGCACCTGTGACTTAGGGGCCAGACCAAACCGAATCGATTTCCGATTCGGGTGTCCCCTGCCAGGCGGTTCAGACCGGTCGAGGCGCGAGTCCTGCTGCTGATAGGCAGTGTACCCCCGACTGTAAAGAGGGATCCTTCATCTAGAAATCTGTGTCAGGACCTGTTATTGTTGGTCAGGGAGTGTGCACCGACTGTAAGCGAAAGGAATCGCGGTTCTGTTCGAAACGTGTCTATACGCATTCGAGTGAGCGAATATCAACTACTGCAGATAGTGAGATGGCAGAAGCAGGACTAAGTCCAGCTGAACTGGAGCAGATGCTCCTGGGCAACCTGACCACAGCAGAGCAGCTGTCGGCAATGAGAGAGTCGCTGGAGAGACTGATGAAAAAGGTTGATAGCCTAACGAATACAGGCACACAGCTGCGCATCTCTAGAGGCTATCGCAAAGACGTCGAGAAGTCTGCGTGAGATTCCGGCTGAATAAGTGAAGGAGTTTCGACGTGTCGTCTAAACAGCTCGAGGAAGCAGCAATCTCAAGGATAAATAAGGAGTGTCTTCTCACTGAGCGGGAGTTGGAGAACCTCGAGGAGCTGGAAGTAGAAAGTCTAAGCACTTAAAGTCGTGAGGTCTGAAACGCAGCGCTAAGGCGTGGGAAAGTCACGTAGCACTTACACCGAAAAAGCTAGATAAGCCTGAAAAAGAAAAGGCTGGTGGTACCGTGAAGCATTCCAACGCTCTTTTCTTGCAGTAGTCTCGTCAGGCTGCTGGAGCAGAATGCAGCAGAAGTAGCCGCCGATCTTATACGAATAACTGAATGTCGGCGACTTCGACAACGTCGAATATCATCTGGATTTCGATACAGTAGTGGCGGCGCAAGGAAGACTCTTCGGCTAGGCAGAAAGCCTGCAAGTCTCAGAGAAAAACTGAGAATACGTACTTGCAGCAAAAAAGGACGACCGAGTGGAAGCCGAGGACGAGGGACTCGAATCAATCGTCGTTGACCAGGTGCCAAAGCCAAGGTGAGTCTTTCCACTTCGAAAATGCTATGGGGTCCATATGTGCGGCTATGGCTCTACCCGAAGTGGAAGGGTATAGTGACCTTAGGGAGAGGGATTTGATGAGTTCATCATGAGGTCCACGAAGAAACACTAGAGCCTTGGGTTACGAAATGACCTCCTCACCCAACTGTTGCTCTCTAAATTGCAAGGTTACCCAGAAGCGGTAGCGAAATCACTACCGAAGCTCGTAAGAGAGGGGAACTTCGACAACCTCGTGGAAGGCCTGCGAGCAAAGTTCAACGTGGACAATTTGGCGATGCAGATGAAGGATCTAAAACACCTCAAGAAGCATGGAGGCGTTACAGAATTCTCCCTAGAAGCCTATCCAAATGCATCGGAAGAAGAACTGTCCCGTACAAAGGGCAGGGGAACTGGTGAGCCAGCAAACCGACTGGCCGGAACACCTCCAACTTTTTACGACAACGGAGGTAGCTCCAAAGAAGCAGGCGTATGACATGGTGAAAGCCATGGCACAAAGATGTGAAAGAAGTAAGGAAGTAGCGGCTGCAATGCGTAATGCCAAGGAAGGTCATGCTCGAAAGAGCCAGTACCAGTACGGCAGAATATGCAAAGGTGATCATAATCATGATGCTCGGCAAGTCCAAAACACTGAACACACTGGCAGGTGCAAGCAGTAAGCTCGATGTCCGGGACGCGACGGCTTAGCGGAGACCTTTCGGAAAGTGTCTCAACTGTAACAAGTAAGGACATCTGAGAAAGGACTGCACGATGCTGAAGAAGAATGCTACTACTACTGAAAAGCACTCAATCGGCTCAGCAAGCACACCCGGCGAGAATTTTTACCGCGTCGTTGAGGAAATGAATATGTGGAGCAGTAGAAGTCGACAGGTGCGAATTGATCGGAGAACAAACGACAACGGAAGTTCATCTTCCAGGTACTTCACGAAGAGCGCTGTTGGACACTGGGTCGCAAATCAGCATACCACTGCAAGTACTCCAGGCAGTATTGGAGTCCGGCTTTGACTTGGATGCCGACGTCGAAGAAATTCCGTTGGATCAGCAAAAGCAGGTATTTGATGCTTCGGGCAACAGAATGTCCTTCAAAGGAGCGATCAGACTGTCACTGCAGATGAGCGACAGTAAGAAGCAGCGGATCGCCGCCTTTGTCTTGGCTAGACGAGACGGCATGTTGTTGCTTGGGACCAATTCACTGCGGCCACTTAGATGTGACCTCACTCAGCGAAACTGCTCAGATTCTGGAGCGCTACCTGTCAAGAGGACGCTCCGATATGTGAACAGGGAAAGAAAGCAAGATGTTCAGCTACTGCTGCGAAAAGGGGTATATACCTCTAGGACAGTCAAGATCGGTACCTATTCAATGCAAAGACCACAGAATTTTCCGGTATAAGAACCACTTGCTTCCTGGTGCCGTATGGGAAGGTGGAGAGAAGGCAGTTGAGGTGCCGGTAACAAACACCTTGGCAGGAGCAAAGATCTTCCGACTGGGGTAGGAGGTAGGAATCCTCGAACCCGCAAATGTCGTGGAAGTCGAGCCTGTCACTTTTCGGGAGACATGTTGGGTCGCACAGTGGAAGCTAATACAGAGCGAGAAGACAGACATTTGAAGTTGCTCCGCGACAACAGGACAGACGCAGAGAATAGCGAAGGAACTGCCCGTTCAGGCACCACTGGTCCGACAAATGCCTGGTCCGATACCACTGGCCACTCGCGTGGGGCTCCGACGGATTCTTAATGATTTGCACGTGCGAAAAATCATTGAACCAAGTAAATCGAGCTGGGCCTCGTACATCGTCTTGGTTCAGAAGAAGAAAAAACACTTGGACTCTCTATCGCAAGCTCAATCAGGTGACAAGAATTGATAGCTACCCTCTGCCGACCATTGACACAATTCTTCAGAGTTTGAAGGGTCGAAAATACTTTTCCACCCTGGATTTGTCAGCAGGCCATTGGCAAATAAGTCTATCTGAAGATGCAAAAGAGAAATCGGCGTCTGCAACAACGGAAGGTCTGTACCAGTTCAGGGTACTACCTTTCGGGCTCCTATCACACCTCCGGTATTTCAACGTATGGTGCACGCGGTTCTAGAGCCTCTGCCGGGAGATGAAGTCTTCTGCTACCTGGATGACATCATGGTAGCCACAGAAACAATAGAGGCATTTCCAAGTTCTGGAAAAGGTTTTTAAGCATTTGTCAAAAGCACGACTTAGATTGGACCCAAAGAATGGCGTGTTGCTGGAGAAAAAAAGTTGAGTTCCTCGGCCACGTAATAGATTGTGATGGGTTGCACATGGATCCAGCCGAGGTGGAAGCGATTAGAAGGTACCCGCTACCGCAATTGCGCTCGGACCTTCGGATTTTTCTCGGTATGTGTTCTTACTACCGGAAGTTCATTTTGGGATTCTCTAAGGTAGCCGCTCTGCTCATGAGATGACATCCGAGAAAGTGGCCTTCGAATGGAATTCCTTGGAAAAGTCATGCTTTGACAAGCTGAAGACAATAACAATGCAGGCGTCAGTGTTAGCGCAACCCGATATTGAAGCAGCGAGGAGCGGTAGAAGACCGTTCGGAATTCATACTGACGCAATTATCCAAGGTCTGGGAGCTGTATTAGGTCAAGAAGGCGACGATGGATTTCTACATCCAGTGTTCGTTGCGTCAAAGAGTCTGACTCAATGTGAAAAGAACTATCACGTCACCGACTTGGAAGCGCTGGCTGTGGTCTTTGCCCTGGGGAAATTTCACATGTTTGTGTACGGGCTTCCGGTCAAGCTGTACACTGACCACCAAGTCTTGGCAGCTCTATCCCGACGAACTAGCGTGTCAGCACGAGTTCTCAGGTGAGCGCTCGAACTGCAAAAGTACAATCTCAAGAGCGTCTACTTCAAAGGGGCTGCAGACCGCGTAGCGGATGCGTTAAGTCGTGGTGTTACCCCGAATGATGAAGTAAAAGGTGAAGAGACCGCCAAAGAAACCACTGTAGCAGCGACAGTAGAGCCCGAGTGGACGACCAAACTTCGACAAGATCCCACGTATAGAAAAATCATAGGTAACCTGGAAGCAGGGAATCTAGATGAGGAAATCATCATTACAAAGATATCCTAACTTCGAAGTGGCAGACTTTGTTATGGATAAAGGATACTTAGGCTCACTAGAGAACGATACAGTTCGTAGAGTTGTGCCTTTATCCAGGAGACGAGCAGTCTTTGAAGAAGCACAAGCGGGACTGTTGGCCGGACATTTCAGCTCGAAACAACTGGTTAAAGACACATGGTACGACCACACACAATTTGGGAGTGCGTGATTAGCAGCTGTCGAAGCGTAGCGGTTTCACCGTCCTAACATGCGCAGGAATGGAGATACAGGACCGTGAAACACGCTAGTTCCTCCAAGCTACCCTTTTGGCGACATAAACCCCGTTCATGTCAACAGCCGTCGTGTGCGCACGCGTCGCGTGCGGCACTCTCGGCACTTTGTCAAGTCCTGTAATTGCGCTTCGGAATACAAGCAAGACGCGATTTCCTGCGGATTACATTTTAGATGCTGCAGAACTGAAGATGATGACGAGGGCCAAAACTCAAGAGCAACTGCGCTGCTTCTGCAATATCCCTCGGAGGCTGCGCATTCCCATAAAACATGATAAAAACGACCAAAGCGTCCCACTCGTTAGTTTAAAGTATTTCTATGGCTTTGGAGCCGGATGCGCCGGATCGCGGGAATTTACACGCGATTCTAATTAATATGCATTTCCTTAACTTTTCTCATTTTTGTTTTATTTACATCTACATTCGTTGTTCTTCATTTCTAGCCTTTGTCATTCACCTTCTATTCGGACTTTGAAGCATGAGCAACACCTCAAATGTTATCCGCATCAGGAAACGTTTTGCTTGTATTAAATTAAAGAGTTGGCCGTTTTTATTTATTAGGTTGTCCGAAAAGGAATGCGCGTTAAATTTTTTGAACTTGTCCATTTTTTTCTCTCCTACTATAAAGATTTTTGGAGACAGTTTTGTCTATTAGAAAGAGATTTTTATTGTGCTTCTTTAATATATTTTTGTCCATGTCTACTTTGCTTTTTTTGGGGAAAAAAAGTTGGGAACAGCGGGTGCCGCACCAGCTGAGCGAAGCAAACAAGGCAACACGAGTGGCAATGGCCGGAATTCTTCTTCGTCGCTCCAAGAACAGCGGTTTTTTCGACTCTATTATTACATCAAATGAGAAAAAGGTCTGCTTCGATAACGCAACGAGAAAAGGACAGTGGTTAGACTCCAGTGACTCTCCAAAACGGACTCCGAAAGCTGATATACGCGGCAAAAAGGTGATGCTCCGTGTTTGGTGAAATAGCAAAGGTTTGATGTACTTTGAAGTTCCGGAATCTGGTCAGACGGTTACGGCGGACATCTGCAAACACCAATTGAACCGCATGGATCCAGCACTGCGTAAAGTGTCGAAACGACGTCGACAAAATTTATCCACGACAACCTCATCCACATGTGGCGAAAATCATTCTAGAAAAAAAAATTGAGGAATTGGGCTGGAAAGTCCTGCCCCATTCGCCACACAGATCAGACCTGGCACCATCGATTACCATCTGTTCCGGTCGATGCAGAACTCCCTGGCCGAGAGAAAATTCACAAACCGCGAAAAAGGTCCAACTCTGGGTGTCCAACTTCTTTGAGTCGCAGCCGGTCGAGTTCTTCAGAAGAGGAATCCATTTTTTGCATAAATGTTGACAACAAGTCATTGATACTAATGGGGATTGTCTTTTGAATTTATCTTGTTTAATTTCGTTTTTATAATAAAAAAATTTTTAAGCTCGAACGCGCATTCCTTTCCGGACAACCTAATATATTCAATATTAAGACACAAGTACGTCCGCTCACCTTTCCTGGCTGCTTTCCTGCTGATCCTGCTTTCTTCTGAATTATTTACCTCTCCTTATATGAGCGTTAGATTAACAGCCGTACGAACTAGAAAAAGACTCACTGCGTTGGCTTTCTCTTGAACATTCGTTGCATTCGTCTTCGCCTTAGGAACTTCTGTGGGGGCAGGAGGTGTTGTGGAAGCATTGGGTGTTGTGGGAGCGGGAGGTGTTGTTGTAGCATGAGCTGCTTTGGGAGCGGGAGGTGTTGTAGCAGTATGAGGTGTTGTGGGAGCGTGAGCTGTTGTTGGAGTAGCTGGCTTCACTGGTGTACCAGTCCCTATAGGAGGACCGTGAGCCGTCGAGGGGCCAAGGGCTGCTGCGACAGGCACAGTTGTTGTTGGGGTAGCCCCCTTCATTGTTGTAGGAGTGAGCATACCCGTTACTGAAAGTGCGCATGTTCCAGGAGAAGCTGGGTGATGTGGAGTTGCTGTTGGTGGATAGTAGGCGGTAGCTAAATTATGCTTGGCACCACCTATCGGTGTTCCGGGAGAGAAATAGTCTGGTGGAGTGACCACCGCCCCAGCAGTTGGTGGATGTCTAGCGGTTGTCACATTATGTTCCGCTGGATGGGGCGGAGCAGGAGTCTTCTGCGGCCCTTTGGGGGCAGATGTTAGTTGCTTAGTTTCCTCCATCCATGAGCTGGCACAGGTGCAGTTGGTGCTTTCACCAGTGAGTCGGGTGCTGTAATCTGTAGTGGGTGATGTTTATCAAGAGCTGGTCCTGGAGCTGCTGTTTTAGCTGATAGTTCGCCCATTATTGTATTTAGACCAGGCTGAGGTTGTGTAGATGTTTGCGTTATTCCATTTTGTTGTTGTGCTTTTGTGGGTGGTGTGATCGGTGGGGCAGGTTTTCCCTTCTCGTTATTCTTCACTACTGCTTTCGCCTGCTCCTAAAACGTCTGCTTCATGAACTTTTATCAGCTGTCGCAATCTGTGATCTTCTTCTTCTCATCTTCTTCCCATGGATGAGAAGAAGATCTTCTTCTCATCCATGGGACAGGCCGATAAAAAACGGAGCCAAACCCATAATTTACCCTTTTGTCCCGCTGCACATATATAAAAAGACGGGAAGATTCCTTCGAAGACCCCCGTTCGCGATGGTAAGTGGTGGGTGGTACGGTCAATTCATGAATATATAGGTGCAACTGATTTACCAGTGAAGGAAGTAGCAGACGAAATCGCCAAAAACCCTTCAATCAAGTACTGGGTAATTAAAGACTGGGCGAGCACGCGACATGAAGAGACGCAGAGACGTTTGACAAGCGAAAGACCAGATACGCGCGCGCTAGAGTCAGACAGGCGCAAACAACAAAGGCGAGAACCAGCACTACCGTCACGCAGTAACAGTACGCTCATGGGAACCCAAACCTTTTCAAGGCAGGTCCAGAATTGCAGGCTCCTCGTGCTTTCATCAAGCGCTCCCGAGCAGTAACAAGTCCGCCTGATTCCTAGGTACAATCGCTATCGGTGCATCACAAGCAAGCGTTCCTGCGTACGTACGTTTAGGCGCGGCGCGAATTCGCTTCCACCAGTCAGTCGTTTCCACTATGGGGCGAGCAGCTACAGATGGAAATAGGTGGTGCCGCGCCAAAACTGATAAACAGTTGGTATCACCGCAATCACTGGGGTGGCATTGACTGGGAGTCGACCGACCTTACATGCGGCGCTTCCACTACTGGTTATTTTCACCCTAAATCGATCACTGTGTAATCACGATTGGTGGACCAAGGCAGGCAATGGCGAGTCCATCCTACCCTCCTCACACCATTCTCGACTGATTTCCATCTAACAAACTATACGTAAAGGCACCTTTATCCGACACGCCGACAAGCATAGCACTTATGAGCTTGCGCTGCCCAGACGAAAAAGATGGCCGGATGACTCTTGGCGCTGGTTTGTCAGCATTGTCGTGACAGTGTTACCATCTAGTGAGGTGGTTCGTCTTGCCTACCTATCGTCAAACTGGACTTGTGTCCACTCTAAAATCAAGAGAATGGATGCATGGGACTTACTTTTGGTGCAGCATCTTTGATGCCATTGGGCATACTAGATGTCTCTCTATTTGAGAATGAATTCGATTCGTCCTCTACGCTGAGGCTTTCTTCTTCTTCTATAGTAGGATCTTCTACTGATCCCTAAAAATTAAGTTCTTCAACGCTAGTACAAGCACACTTGCACTGCTAATGGGGCTCACTCTAGAAGGTTGAATGGACAAAGTCTTCGCCCTTGATCGATCCCTTGGTGGGATGCGGCACGCATTCTATTTCCACTCAGAATCGTGAAGGCTTACTGAGTGCGATGTGGCCAATACAATGACTTTCTGAGGCCAGCCGATGGACGAGCCACTGTTTTATCCTCCCGCGCGAATCCGACACCAAGTTACCGTCTCCAGCAGGGGAAGAGGGCTTGGTTGGCCTGAGGCGGATCCATCAAGGAATTGGTTCTCGGACCGTACGCTGGTAAGCATGCCACTTGCCACTGCCACACAACCTCCTCGGGACTCACTGTAACTTGATCTTAAACACTACTGCCACTTCTCCATTGATGTGATCTGGTCTGATAACGAGGAAAGTGATAAATTTTCGGCACTTTTTACCCTTTACTGATCCAGTCATCCAGAATTGAGCCAGTTTGTGACCGACTTTTCTCTCCGTGGACATATTTGGCTCCAATGTTGTTTCCTGGGGTCTTTTGACCTCCTGAATACGAATATGACATTCGCTTATCCCGAAACCTCCTGGCGCCCGCGCCACAGGCGCCGGTGACCTGGGGTATTTTGGCGCTAGCACCTGTAGCGCGGGTGGCAGGAGGTTTCATGCCAGGCGCATGTGATATTCATGTTCAGGAGGTCAAACTACCCCAGGGCACAAATTTTCATGCAATTCTGCCAAGGCAGAAAAAAGTCGTTCAAAAAGCCCGTTTTCGGAAGACTGGGGCAGTAAAGGGTAAATAGTGACAAATTTTCTTTGGCTGGCTGCTATCAAATGTTCGCCAGAAGTTATAGACATTTTTGCAATGTCACGGAAAAAATGCAGTGTTCGCCAGGAGATATCACATACCATAAAAGAAGAATCCAGGAAGAGCGTCCACAGACTTAGTTGCGAGCACGGCGGCAGCTGCCCATCTCGGTGTATCTCGCTCTGGAGCAGAGACGGCAGAGTTATACACCGTGTGCATAATACAGCGAAGTTCGTGAGGCTGCATTCATACCTTTCGTTTCGAGCGACTCGAGCGCATCTCAGCTTTTTGAGCATTTCGAGCGACTAGGGAGCTGTAGTATCGATCTAGCAGCCGCCAATGCACTGCAGCGTTTTGAGCGCCCACCAGCATTTTCAGCGTACGCCATAGCCCAGGACTGCAGAGTAAAGGGAAAGTAGTAGAGTAGCAGCCTACTAGATTAGGCATCGTGAAACTGCAAGGTGCTAAAGCAAAGAATTATGCAGTCCAAGTCCAGTAGTCTGCTAGCTTCCTAGTTTACCATACTCCCCATTCCCGTACGCTGGCGTACGCTCAGAGCACTTGCGTACTCTAGCGTACGCCAGTTCGATACCTATACTTTCCTAATCGCTCGTAGCGCTCAATACGCTGCTGCACGCTCAAAACACTGACGCAAAGTATGAAGGCAGCCTTAGGTTAGATGGATCTGCCGCCTTAGCGGCAACACTCGGCAGATGAGCAGTTGCCACGGCTCTCACAGCGAAGTGGTCACGCCTACTTCAAGCGACGTGGTTTCAGAGGTACTGAGGCTTAACGAGGACTGTGGCAAGAACAGTGGAGATTGATTCTGAAGGATATGAAAATCAGCTTCTTTGCAATGTCCACCCAAGATTCTGGAGCTATGAAACGGAATCTTTGTTAAGGTTTACCAACCTGCAAACCTATACCATTTGGAGCCACTATAAACCAAGCCCTTACCTTAGCTATTTCTCTGATCGACTTTCTCGTATTCTGCGGGTTTTCTTGTCTGAATACATAACGATAAATAGTTAAAGCAGTTTTATAATGTTGTTCATATTGTTACATTATCAATACGAGGCATAACACTTATTGTTTAGCGCAAACTTGTGATGAATCTTAAAGACAGCCCTCCGCGATCAAGTGGCTCGTGGTCGCATTTGCTGTGCAAGTAGTCTAGCCTCCATGCTAGGAAGACTGTTCACCTTTCGCGACTCTATTGTGAGCGTGGAGGCTGCTATAGCCGCTCAAAGTGCTAGTTCTAACTCCTCCTCAGTCGGACCGCCTTTATTTGCTAGATGTCCTCCGACGGAGGCCACTCACTTGTTCTTAGTTGGGGCGGCGGGCATTGCTAATGCCTCTAGATAATTCTGCTCTCCTTCATTACAGTTTACTCATTGGAGGTATATACATTCAATTCAATCCATTTCGCGAGGTGAAACGCGTAAAAAAACACGAGTGACGCAATTTTCGTGATGCAAAACCACGATGCACAGAAGGTGCGCCTACCGTAATCACAAATTCAGACACCGTGTTGATAAAATTCCTTTTTCCTTCCCAGAGTTTTTCCTCTGCGTTTTTGTTGTTTTCTTTTTGTATTCTTTCTTTTGCACTAGATGATATCAACTACTGCGAGATGTGATAGAGAGATTTGTGAGCTAGGGGCTGCACAGAGACCGCAGGGGGGTGTAACTGTGAAGGAACGATTTTGTTTATGTTGTTCTGGAGAACTCTTCTTGCCACTTTTCTTCTTTGGGAGATTACTTATCGGCTGCTGTTTCATAATTGGGAAGCAGCTATCCATGAGACTTTTATCGCGGGAGCTGTCTTTAAGAAGCTACAGTTCAGAGGAACGTGCCCAGGACTTACATGGGAGCGCGGCAGCAGCTCTCTATCTATAGAGTGCTTCTGGTTCAGAGAAGAGAGGGTAGAAGGGGAGCACGCGCGTTCAGGAGGCGCTGCTATCTATGCTCTAAACAGACAACACTGAATATGTAATCACTACCGCATTCCGACTGGTTCCGTAGACATGCCCTCTCCCAGTGTCGCGATATTATAACCTGTGTTATTGGGCTTTCTACTACAATTTCGTCCTGTTTCCATATCAATGGATGTTGCATAGGGCAGACGCTAAGCGTGTTCTCAGGAATTTGCGATCTTCGTGTCAGACTACAGACTTTGGCTACGGTCTTTAAAGAAATTATGAGGGAAACTTCTTTACATCCCCGCGTACGACCTATGATGGGCTCTTGGCTAAAGATAAATGCAAACTACACCATGTTCACTCCAAAGGGTGGATTTTCCCATGTGAAATGTTTGGCGCCGTAGTTTCCATGGCAGAACTACAGATACATTGCACTTGGCGCAACCTTTTCAGCTTCGAAAAGGAAGGGTCACTTGAACATCTTCAGTATGCATCCTGATTAGCCTCACCAGCATGGAATATCTTACCGCCTGGAGTCTTAGGATTCCCCATCCCAAATCCGCTAGCACATTGAAGGGGCCACAATTTCAACGTGAAGTACCTACGCATCACCGCGAACTCATGATTATCGCTTTCATCCCTCCTTAGGCTCTGTTCTCGCCATTCTTCTCTATCTGTCTTCTTACTGGCAGCAAAACACGCCAAGAAAAAATAAACTCACTCCTTCTCTTGATTTGGATTTCGACTTCTTATTACTTTCGGATGGAGTAAAGTGCTGGAAACAAAGCAGTCAGGGGAGAGACTAGAATTCGTGCCCCTTGATAAAAGCAAACTGATCAAAGGTCGGGAATGGTCCACATGCGCCCATGTTCCCTGAGTCGCGACATAGGGGGCGAAACAGCAAACTATTTCCTGGGAGGTGTCGCAGTCGCAGAACGCAGCACTGCCACTTTGGATCGAATGGGTCATGGTGCAAATGTTGCACACGCGACACCTGCACTGCCTTCTTCGTGGTGCTCGCGAAAGTAGGGAAATGTGAAGCATCCCCGCCCCACATTTCGAGAATCTTCGGTGAGGAGCCACATATAGCATTAAGATTGATTGAGAGAACAGGTTGCACTGCATTGGCTCGCTTTCCGTCAGTTGATCAAGCAGCCGTTTCGGTCGAGACAGAGCACGGCAAAAAATTCAAGCCATCTTTGGACCCATTTGGTTTCAAAATTTTTCGACAAGGAGCTGCACACTTCGTACAGAAGTGCAGATACACAGAGGATCTATCACATTCTTCCAGCCAGCATTTCAAAGGGATTGGCTTGTGAACTCGGTGAAACGTTACCCCATCCAGTTACAAAAACACCTAATTCTGAAGGCGTGCGCGTTTTTTCAATTGTTGAACGCTGCACGGATTGAAGTGTGCCCTACCAGCCTTCCTCGAGTCAAGGACATTATTGACAGCTACCTGCGGTCATTTTGGATGCCTGAATTATGGTGGTAGCTGATAGCTGCTGCAAATCTGAAAGCACATCAAAAAAAACTCATACTTACGCGCATGAAGCAGAGCAAATACGGAAAGATCCGGTCGTATATCATGGTCACATTGCCCGTGAGATGTTTTAACTGACCATGCCATGCGCCTTCCTAGTTGGATAACTCGTCCAAATCCGTAAACTACGGTATCATCATGAGTAGCAATCTACATGAAGCCACTGGCATTTGCTCTGACGCTCCTGCTTCTTAAACAGAGCGTAAGTATGTCTACTAATGTTCAGTAACGACAATTTAGTTATGTTGAGATTTGGACGAGTTGTCCACTCGGAAGATATGTCGAACTCCTTGTCATGACCCGTTGTGCAACACAATATCCAAACCTATGCACTCATTTTCACACCTTATCTTAAAAAAATGATACAGCGCCACTTTTAATGTATGTTCCTCACGCACCTACCGGTTGGAAAGTCCGTCATTGAGCAGAAAGAAAGCCGTGTGGCTCGAGAGGGACACACTCTCGCAGTCTTAGGCCAGTTCCTGTGTGCCCCTCTCACTGAGACAGCGCGACATATCTTCCACGGCTTATACAACGTCAGAACATATCGCTCTCCCACTGCACCCTGCACAACATTTTGTGACTTTGTCGCGACACGGTGGCTACGCGCACTCAGCCGCGCCGAATTCGCTCCCCAACTACGTTAGCGCGAAAATTTCTAGGATTCATACGAAGAAATACTCGATCCTAGCCATAAAGCAACTAATCCTAGAAGGAGCAGGCGCAACTAGTAGTAATTAGCATAACAGCGGTAAGACCGCACACACCCTGTCCAAACTAAAAAATTGAACCAAATTGCAGGCTTTTTGTTTTTTCTTCTACATTATCATGTCCAAACTGACTAAATTACTTGGAATACATGAGTGAACATGAGTTTGAATGGAATCTCATGCTTTATTCAGTGGCCGAGTAGTCCATGAGCGCCACCAGTGCATACGGAAGCATCGACGCATACGAAATGCTACATTAATGCACAATCCTGGCCAGCCTTGTTCGCGCGCAGTGAATGGGCGGCCGAGTTGACCATTGATACTGCCGCCAGCAGCCCCTTCGCCACCATTTACTGAAGCGCAGTGAGCGGACAACACTTTGAAACCACTGATCATGAACGATCAAAAAGCCGCGCCATTGCCATGCCGAACCCCAGCCTGTCTGAGCGTACGGTGGGCTGCAGCGCGCCCCAGTCATACGTAACGACGTGCAAGGTGCATTAATACTAGTGTACTGGGGCAAACGTATGCAAAGACAGAAATAAAAAGCACGAATTCTAAAAAGAACCGGAATTTATATCAAAGTGCGTCCTGACCTCTTCTCGTACTGAAGTCGAATTCACCGGTTTTTTCCTATGAAACGCGTGTTTGCGATTTTACAGAGAATGCGACAATAAAAGGCCTCCTTTGTAGTAAGGGTAGTCATGGACACGTATCGAGATGCTAACAATTATAAAAATTCAAAAAAGTAAGTGGCACTGTTAAGCTGTCACGCGCCACTAATACCGAGTCACAGAGCTTCCGTATAATTTAGAACGTCGAACACAAAATATGCGCACACTGGAGCACAGCGTCAGAACCCACTCCTTAATGGGGATAACAGCATAAACAAAAGAAACTCACGAAAGTGCAGAAATCCCCCCCTAAGTGAAAACAGCGTAGGTGCTGGGACACAACCCGAATCGCATAAACTGTAATGAGTCAGCAGTACATGAATAAAACGAAGGAGCTTCAAGCCGCGAAAAAGAGTTCCATCTGGCTTTTTCCTGTTCTACAGATATCCGTCATATTTGATGAAAACATTACTCTCTCTCGACAGCCAGGATGTTATAAAAGGCCAATATCACCTCGCCCGTAAAAGAGTAGTTCGCTGCATACGGGCTTTTTCTATTATTTTTGGTTGGGCCGTCGGTCACGCGGACATTGCGGTGGCCAGGCATGGGGATCGCGAATGGCGGGTGAGTACGACGGCCCCCCCCTCGAAGAGGGTCCAGATAGAGTACCCCTCTCCCTGCTCAAAGTGACAACCAGAGCAATTGGTCCGCAAAATGGCTTCTGAATGGGAATCTTATGTTTTCGAAACGGGCTCTCGCTCTAAAATCCCAGGCAACAAAAGCTGTTTCACGCCTCATGCATATGAGGCTGAACAAGCAGCCTCACATCTACCTACAATTTTGTCTTAGTAATTCGGCAACAAAACTCGTCGTCGACATTACCATTGTATGACATGCCAACTTGTAAAAAGGAATCCAATCGAAATAGCGACGATGTGATTCATTGATAATAAATCTGGTGAAAAAAATAGCCTGCCAAGGTCAGCGTGTTAGGCCCAATGTGCATTCCATGAACTAGCTAGGGTAGCGCGATCCGCATCGGCGCTACTTGGGATGGGTGAAATTCAGCGACCGGGGGAGGCGGATGCATGTTTGTTTCATGTTGATTGTGTTTATTTAAGAGAGAACAGGACACAATAACGCATGAACAACCATAACCCCCCCCGGTGTTAGAATTTCAGCTCATCCCAGAGTGCGTGAATCGGATCGCCGCGATCCGAGCGATACGATGCGGTGAGCCTAGGTCGAGCGAATTCGACTCGCGAAGTCTGAACGCGGCTCTGACACGGGCCCCAACTGTCGCAGCGACTAGAGTATGAACTTGAGCATGTTTCAATGAACAAAAAAAAAAAGAGTATGAATCAATAAGCATACAACAAAGAACCATCACAACAAACCCTCAGTAGCAGGGAGCCTGGCGCAAGGTAAGGTCAAGGTCAAAGTGTGAACAGCTTTCAATGGCGTGCGTTGCTTTGGGCTCTAAACTCTATAGAATAAGAGTCACAATTGAGGCTCCTTGCGCACGAATCTTGAAGGCGTACACAGAAAAAGCTTCATAGATAGTATGGAAGGATAGAAATAGAGAAGTGAATCGTGTGGAAATACAAAACGCAAACACCAGTATCAGAAAATTCGACATCAACAACGCAGAAGACGGGTGATCGTGAAACAAAATATGCCCAAGTAATTCCGAATACCTCGGGCTCCCTTCCAGTTTGCATCTTGGACTAATGGATGTACGGTACTTCACTGTGTCTGTAATTACGGTGGAATCATCTGTGGGCGCCTCAGGATATTTGTATAGCCGCCAAGCTTTTTCTTCCTCATTCCTTTTTTTCCTTGTTATGTCCTTCTATCCCTTCCTTCTTTCTCTCTTCCCTCTCCTTATTCTCCTCCCTCCGAATGCTCGGGGAAAAGATGCAACGAGAAATTTCTATGGACCCTGCCGGCGGGGGAACATCAAGATGACTGATGCCCTGGAACCATCTGTCAGCGGGACCTTTTTTTGCCGTGAGGGTCCATAAGCATTTTCTCGCTGCATCTTCTGGCCGAGCATTCGAAGAAATGAGAACAAGGAAGAGGGAATAGTGGGAGAGGAGGAGGAGGAGTAATAAAGAGAAGGAAGGAAAAGGGAGGAGGGAGGATCCGCGGTTGACAGATGTTCAGGTCCCTTGATATAGGTCGCGCATATAGTTTCCTTGCTCCCATTGTTTTGTTCTTTTCAGTCCTGTCAATGCTGATACGCCAAAAGGAACATAGCGGCGAGGTAGCTGGGGTTGGGGAAGGGGAGTTAGCGAGCGTAGACACCAGCAGCGGAGCCAGCGCTGGTTAACACGTTGACGACAACGCGGGTTTTTACTTTTCGGCCTCGTGGGGCAGCGCGCTTCCTTGAACGCCACAATCGCGGCACGCATACAATGCAAGCCGTCCCACGAAGCGCTTTTCTGGAGAATGGATCGAAAAAACCTGGTTTAGAGAGCGAGCGTGAAGTAACTTATTCATTTACTATGAAAAAATCTGGGCTGACCAACTCTCTTTGCACCAGGACCAATAATTTTTCCGTAACCAATTTTTCCATAAGAAATGCAAATCCTGTTTTCTGTAGGATTCAGAATCCTTCACCTTATATTTTCTCATCATTATCAATGTTGTAATTGTCTGTATTTGTTGGAAAAGAGTTAAACAGTAAACCATTCCAAAGCTGAGGAGCAAACCAATTCAAGCTTATAGTGCTCTTTCCACAGGAAATCTTTGCTTAACTAGTGTGTACTAAATTATTCCATGGACCATGTGTTTTACGAGTATACTAGGACTCGCCTATAGATTGAACAGGAGAAACTAAACAAAAAATCATGCACTAGTGAAAGATGTGGATTTGTTGATCATGATTCGTATACAGTTCGCGCGGTCCCACGTGGCCCACAGAGCGCGCATTAAATGCGTATCCCGCTGTCGTCAATGTGTTAATCAAGTTTTTATTTTATCTAGTCTTTTCGCGAATCCCTCTGGATACGCCAGCAATTCTGTGACGGAATAAAAGAGCCACGCTCACTGCCGCCAGCTTTTTCGTACATCTCCAACCGGTTGTCGCAGACGGGTGTATATCGTTAGTCTTGAGTCGGCGAGAGAGGCTTTGCAAGTGCAGCATTCGCAGTGGGACCCATTCGACCCATTGTGGCAGAGCTGCGTCTGGCCAGGTTAGCTAGCTAGCAAACTTGCTAGTCTGCGCGCGCGCGTTGCCTCGGTATGAACTGTATACAGTTGTATAGGGTTACATGCGAGTCACGGCGTGATAGTGCACGCTCTTGTACGTAATTGACGAGGGAGACACAAAGAGGACCACCTCGTCTGGCGTAATCATACAACCACCAAACTGCCGAGACATGTTAGGCCAACCACATCTTTCATTCAGGCGGGCAACTCGTCCAAAGCTTCGATTTATCGTATTTCCCTGAATGATCAACACGGGTGATCTGTTTGAGAAATGTGAGCAAAGCCCAGCGATGTGCTTCCGGAAACTGAGGAGCAGTGTGCACTGGTCCTACGCACTTCATTCTACGCGAATCTCGACTACAGTATACAGCCTATTATTCTAAATTTATAGCTAAAGGCAAGCGCTACGGTAAACAAGCAAGGCGATAAATATGCCTAGCAGCGCAGAATCCAGCGCCTGTGGGCACCCGCTGCACTTTCCCAACGAAGGTACCCTTTAGCGTCCTACCAAGCTGCAACATACCCACGAAGACCCCCCCCCCTCAGTAACCGCCGACCCACAATTGGCTGCTCTTATCCCTTAATTCCTTTATCAATCACAATATGATGGAATCGATCGATATGAAGAGTGGCTACATGGATATATGAAAACATACGTGCAGCAGTATCTACCAAAGCAGTAACTGGCGCGAGTAACGGGAAACTCGTCCAAAAATGCTCGTCCTTTGCCGTGCAGAACAAAGGTTTTTTGCTGGTTTTTGGCCCTCAAGTTTCCTTTTTCGGCATTTTCCCCACTATGTATACAACACTCTTTCTACAATTTTTTAGCAAGAACCAAATCATGCCTTATGCCTCCTGTCACGGCAGAGAAGGAAGTAGAAATTTCTATTTTTTTTCATATCAGATCAGAGTGGAATTTTCCGCCATTACTGGCTGAGTCTACTAAACAAAACACTTAGGAGAAGTTCTATTCGACGCTGTATCACAACGAGGGTACAGATACCTGCATTGATAGTATCGTCGAGGGAGAACAACTCGTTACGCGCTACTGTACCCCCTCCCCCATAGTAATACGGGGCCAGCTCCCTATAACTGATTGACCGCGACTTGGCATTGATTTTACTTGTCTAATACTCACATCAAGAATCTTTTATTAGAAACCATCTTTTATTGTACATTTGTTAACATGCAGAGACAAATAAAGAAAAAATCTGACAACGTAACAGTAATTGGACCTGCCTCTGCATGAGCTTTGCAACTCGCGAAATTAAAAACATCATTTCAAATTTCTACCGCAAGCTTCAACTTATTTTGGGGGGCAGTGCTACAGACAACAAAACTCCCACACAATGCAGTAAACCCGTTCATAACAGAGATACAAAATTAAGCCAGGACAAAATTGTACATCGGTATGGTTGGAAAAAGTTGGAATTAGTTCCAGAAATTTGCGCAAAACGACCATCTACAGTCCTCATCATTGCGGATCGGAGGGGCGTGTCAGCCAGTGAGTGCACATTGTTGAAGCCGTTCTCAGCCTTTTTGTTGAAACGCGTATACGACAAAAAGTGGTAAAAACGAGTAATAAGAAGGATATAATACAGCAATGTCACTTGACTGCTTCAACTACTGGAACTTTGGCACCGCGCCAAACGCACAGCACTACACGCCCAACCGGTCCGCAATGATGAGGATTGTAAAGCAAGCATTATGCAACATTTTTCAAAGCGATATTACAACGATGCCTACTGTGCTCAGGTACGCTCCTTTTTTAGCACACTGCTCATGTCTGGACCTTCCAATTCAACAAGTCTCTCGTTCAGCCTTCCCACAAGGGCCTCCAGCTCAATCATCTGTAAAAGTCCTTGTAATCTTCAAGAATGCACCAGATATCGCACATCGATTAAACTAACATTCTATGATCAACCAGGGCACATCATTGGTTGAGGATTTCAGTCGAGTCTGCACGACCCCCCCTCTCTTTTTTGAAGGCTGGTATGACTCCTCCCCTCCGGTTCTTCGTCTCTCATCATCGAATCGAGCCATTGAGTGGTGAGCCGTCCGGGGGGCGGGTAATAAATAGCACATGCGGCGTCTTCTCACTGTGCCTGCGGCGCCGCCGGCCAGAGTTCAACTTTGGGAGCGTGGTAATACGCGCACTTTGCGAATGAAAAAGCTGACAGAGACATGAGGAAGCTCCAGCCCATAACCATGTCCGCCCCTTTTGAGAGGAGGAAGGGGCTACTTTCTACAACTATGGACTTGCCCGCCCACGTGACATAGAAACTATCCACCTGACAAGCAATCGTAGCGTCTTCCAATGAACATACCTTTTCGTATAATTTTGCACAAGACGAGCATCCGAGCAGGGACTCTCCTCGAATAGGGGTCTCAGCGGATTCGTAGGCATTCGAATCCGCTGAGTCCTTGCTATTTGTACCATCCGCATGGTCTTCTTCGCCTTCCTCTAACAGCTCCGTTGCAGAAACTGATGTGTAAGTGTAGTCATGATCGAAATGTGGCTCAGGGCTGTCATCCTTGTAGCTAAAATAAGAAACAAGTGCAATCAGTTGCGACCAGGTTATTTTTTTCAAATCGCTCCAAAACTACGATATTGCAGCCGCCAGCACGTTCAAATGAATTATGCACGAGGCACGTCGTACGCTTGGGAATCCCCCTAGTTGGCAGCGACGCAAAACTGCAATACAACTTCTATTTTCAATGCACGAATTTAGTGGTTGTTCGGAAGGGCCCCCTCGTTTTATGCGGCTAGATTTTGCGGAAGAAGGGGCAAAATGTTGGAAAAACGGAAGGACGGTAGGAAGTTGGGAGAAATTAAAAAGATGGTAGCTGGAATGCTGAAGGGTGGCGTCGTACGAGAGCAGGGAATTAGGGCGAACGACGGTATTGCGCAAAAATGTCTCCCAGCGACAGGAAGTGTCGTGGGTACCTGGCCATGCCCTATCTATCTCCAGGCTATGAGGTGACGGCAGACACGTCCGAAAATGGCGAGAAAGCCACCTGGGGAATTATACAACACCACATGGCACAGGACACATCACTCTAAGGAGGGCACTTTCAAAAATATGGCCCCCTGCCGAACCGGACGGAGAGGATGTATGCGCCTGTAATGACGACGACGAACAAAAAAAATTGGGGAAATAGCTCTATACAGTCCGACCCCCTTCCTCCTAGCCACTGATATGGTCCTTCTCCTCCCTCCCCACTACTCACTCAGGAATTCTCAACGATAATGTATCCTGAATGAATGTAAATGTGAAATCATCTTCGCTGATCTTTGCAGCGTAGGTGGACGTAAAAATGGGATTTGATCTCATATCATTCGAACAATAGTAGTGCCATTTTCCAACACCCCACCTCAACCCGGAATCTACAGTCGCGAAAAAAAACCTGGAACAAGGCACTCTCACCCCTTCTTAGCTATTTATTTTGTTCTTAAACACCGGTACTAGTGTTAGAAGCTGAGAATATAATGTATTAACACAATAACATTAAAATTTCGGTTAAGCGGAGGTGGTGAAGTGGCAAGTGGCGCCACTTGCCACTTCTGTGGTTTAGACCCGGATCCGGCTGCTGCCCAAGCCAACCGAGCTATCCATGCCTGCAGGGAAGGCTAATCAATTCTAGACACTTCTAAAAAGATGAAATCGTCGTTTTCTACATTGGTGTGTGCTCGATGCAGTATTGCTCTCACAGTTTCGCCAACCTCGAAGTGCTGGGATGTTCCTCCGCGTACGCCTAGTATAATTTTAGACACTTTCTTAAAAAGAATGAAATCGTGCGCTTTTCTACAATGGTGTCTGTTGCGAGATATTGCTCTCACGTTTCGCCAACCTCAAAGTGCTAGAGTTTCCTGGCCCCGTACCGAATCGGATCTAGCGCTCATATCTTAGTTCCACTCGGCCCATCGGAAGAAGGAAGAACACCTGTCTGAGTTGTTCGCTTCCTTCTCCTTACTTCACAACTCTCAAGGAATCTATGCTCTGTCCAATGCCATCACAACTTTCGAGAAACGAATCCAATATCAAGAAAGGCCGTGGAGGAGTGTTTTTGTTTTTCCCCTCATAGTAATCGTTCAAAATTCTTATCTACAGGCAACGCATCCGGTCACCAAACTCTATTTTTTGGAACAGCTTCTTCAGGCGTAATTGATTTCAGTAAACAAGGTTTCACAAACAATTTGAAAATTGCATGTGAAACTATTCAAGAGTGCGCGACTTTGAACTTGTTCCAAGTTTTTTTTCCGCTACTTTAACTAATTTGATTTCTTCCAATATGAATCATCAAAGGACCTCGTTTCAGGAGAATCGTCGTCCTCGTCCTCGTCCAGAAAACTGAAATCGTCTTCGTCGTGATCCTTGTCAAGCTTTGCTGCTATCTTCTCGATGTCACTTTCCGTAACCCAGTGAAGCCTCGTTGCGGTACCGTATTCGTTCTGGACTGTCCATGTAATAACATCCGCAGAAAGACCTTGTTTGAGGAAGCCCTCAATAACTTTCACATCGGACTTTGAAAGAGGCAGATCAGCAATGTTTAAGTCGTGACCGATGTGTCGTGTGCAGTACTGTACACGAACAGGGCCATCAGGTGCATCAGATTCAGGTTGTACGAACTCCTAAACATTTTCCAAAGTGTAAGAGAAAGTGTCTATGAATCAGTGAAAAGGGGTTACCTTCAAGAATGAGGTGCAGTTGTAGACAGGCTCAGACTTTTTACCATCTTCATCCTCACCCTCTTCACGAGACTCATTATCGAACACTCTGAATCGTGAATTACTAAACTATTTCTCTACCGCTAAAGAAAGACTGTACAATATTCAAAAGGTGGTCCCTTTATGAGAGCGAGGTAGGCAGGTCAGCAGCCGGCAGCGTTCAGACTTTGCGATGGCGCGTCGACACGCGACGACGCGCTGTAATGCGCTAAAACTGCAACAGCACTCCAATGCTGTAGACGCGAACGCAGCCGCAGAAGGGAATCGATTGAAGCCGGCTGCTTGGTATTAAGAGAGTAGGGAGGACAGCAGGGTGCACACTGTTCAATCACGCAGTTCGGTATCGACTCGCTAGGCTTTGAGATAGCACGGAGGATTGTGAGTCCTAGACTGTAAGCAGGAGGCACCGCCCGCCTCCCTGTTATCCTACATTACTCGAAAGACAAGCGACAAGCACCTTGTTTCCCGCCTGCGGCCGGGTTTGCGTCTATATTATTGGAGCTCTGGTGCAATTGCTGCGCGTGCAGGGTGTCGACGCACGTTATCCAAAGTCTGAACGCTGCCGTCGAAATGTGGCACTTCTGCCATTCGAACTGGCGCGGCCAAGAAGCTAGAGCCGGGAAATGTTCGGTCTATTCAAGGAGCGATATGCACGTCACAGCCACGCATAAGATATGCAGAAAGCAGCACATGTGACTATAGTTGAGCGCATGACTGGCCGTACGGTGTGGTTGGGGCGTTCTTATCGCGGGTTGTGTAGTGGACGGGAATAACATGAAAATTGAACAATAAGCCTCTAGCTTTTTGCCGCTAACTTTCACATGACAGAAATGCTGCACATCTACGGGTAGGGATCTGCCCACCACATGAATGGAAGGGATCTATCTCTCAGGTAACTATACAGTATGCCTCCAAAGGACTAGTTTCATAATTACAATTCGCAAAAATGAAGTAAAAGAAAATGAGGGTAAGAACAGTGAAAGAAGAGAACTGGCTAACCTGCTACATCGATAAAAATATAACATCCTCATTATATTTTTCGATATTTCCCACACTTTATCCATACTGTACGGTAAGTTCTTGCGACTGCATCCTTCCATTGCTAATAGAAATAAAAGGACTTATTCGTAATGAGTTATTAACATTCGCTAGATGCAAAAACTAGACATTTTGGCCCTATTTACAACTTGCCGTCCCATGTTTCCTAAATTAAAGCCAAATTTTGGGTGCAAACTTTTTTGCACAACAGGTTAAAACTTGACCAAAATATTTTGTTTAGCCGATGTTACTCCCTGAACGAAGCGATATCAGATCCGTCTGGACATAGAACATTTGACGTACTCCGCCGCAACATAATCAACAACCTGGCCCATAGCCCCTGCGCTTGTGGCGCGGATGACTGCCGATCTTCGCTTACCCTGGTCTTAAGGAATCTACATCAACCTTGGCACACAACCAACTATGGGACAATGTCGCGCTCAGAGAGAATTTCTCGATGCGTCGTCAGAACTCTGGGATGCCGTTTATCGAAAAGCTGGATTCCGTAACACGGTTATATGGCTGTTCGCTCGCCTCATCGATCTCTTCAAATATTCTTAAACGAATACTGTCAAAACATATTAAGCAGATCAGATCATTTTGCATTACTGTTGGTGAGCATTGTTAGAGCAGTAAATGAGTTCACGAACTTCGACGCAGCTTAGAGGGGGTGGGACGCGCCCGGCGGCGTCGACTGCCGCAGCGTCGAACAAAAGAAGAACCACCGCAACGAATACCATGAAGACATTGGCCTGAGTTGCGATGGGGAGAAGCTCCGGGATGAACCAGTTAAAACGCATTGGGCAGATTGCTGTATGCGGGCGGTCATTGCCAGCGTCAGTGGCGGAGGGAGTGATCACACCACCAAGTGTTAGATATTTCGCCAAACGCCCTCTTTCATCCCATCCACCAATTACGCTGGCAACAACTGCCTAGCTCCAGTATGGAGCCCAGTGCTTCTGAAGACAGTGTCTTAATTTGGAAGATGTTATTCCCAGTTTTGTCACAAGAAGACCTTTCATTGCCTTACCCCTCGAAATTATTGGCCCCTAAAATTTAATGTTCGGGCAAAGATTTCAACAATGCTACTTGGGGGAAGAATGATTACCACCACAATGAAAGCTTGATACTCACCTTATAATCTGCGGCACTTTTGAACGTTCGTCTGTGCACAAGGGCATACCTCTCCCCATGATAAATGCGACAATGTGTGACCAGGTCTTCTTGAGATGGGTAATTGAGTTCACATATAGGGCATCTCATATCAATGTCTCCTTCTTCAGGTTCAACAAAACGCCTCTTCTTCTTCATAAATGTTGCATACGTTTCGATAGCAGGCTGAGCAGCTCGTTTCCTCTTTTCAGCTTTGGCCTTTTCAACAGCCTCTTTGACCTCCACAACGTGAAAGTCCCGCATATGGTTGACCAAATAGTTGGAATCCATCCAACGTTTGCAGAGGATACACTGACGAACACCATCCTTTTGCGCGGTTTTCGGAGGAGATTCAAAACTCAGCGGATCCTTGGCCGACGAGCTACCGATAGCATCTTCTCCAACCTGCAACGGTGTACATTACAAACAGAACTAAGCAGAATGAAAGATCAAACCAATCATACAAATACGAGAACTGTCCAGAGCTAAAGATCATCGATTTCTCGATTTCCCTTATCTCTATATATGGAGTATCTAATCTATCCCGCCTGCCCGTTGTGGAAACACTGTGGCTCAATCTATGCTTGAGAAAATTGCAGCTGGCTGCTCAGGTTCAAGACCCTCCCGGCTCGCCATTCCACCAAATCGTAGGATTCTTCCCCTGCCCAAGTAGTCCCATCAAGTAGTCTCAAAGATTACACCCTCTCGCTGGTCCAGAATGAGTGAAGAGGGTGCTGCGGCCGCCTTAAAGGCAGTCACTGCGCTCAAGCAGACCTTCGTAGGCGTCTTTCCTTACACAAGCAGTATGGTTGACCACAGATTCTACAATTGTTCCACTTTCGCGCTTTACAGTAAAGAGTACGCTGCAGTCCTCATATGTGGCAGTTCCGCCCTCTCTTAGTTGCCGAGCCCACCAAAAGTCAAAAGCTATTTTCTGTCACGTGTTAAGTTTTTACACCAGGTTCTCGTTTTTTATTGTTACACTGTAGCACTGTATGACGCAAAGTAGCGATTAATAAGTGGCGGTAGGATATCCTATTGCTGGCTAGGACGCAGGTCCAGAGAACTTATCCAGGTAGGCTGCTAGGTCCTCAGCGGGTTCTCCATGATTTTCTTTTTGCTTTTTCTTCCCTAGAGATTCATCTGACCTTACAGGTTAATGAATGAAAGCCCACAATATGCAGTAGCGATAGATTCCTTAAGTCGCGGATTCTCCACATTCCCAGAGTAGGAATCTTGTACGAATCGGTCTTACGACACTAGGGGGAATGCAGCCAGAGGCGGCTGCAGAGCAGCCTGGTCTAGGTGTAGCCCAAGTGACTCCAAAGAAGATGCCCGCACACCCTCCCTCAACCTCCCCTACTCCTCCCGTGGCAACACCAGCCCAGCCCTAAACACCCCTCTTGCACCCAACACCCCCCGCCCGCCAAGCTAACTGCATGGTGGCTCGATCAAACAACATCCCCACCCCCGGTAACTCACCACTCCCAACTGGCCTGACCCCCCCAAAAATCCTGGCCATCATCTCGCAGCCGGACTTGCGGCTCTGCGTTTTCAAATCAGGCGCTGATCACCATGGTGACTCCAGGCACTCATCGACCGGACCCAGGTTTCCCCCCTCTTACCCAGCTGAAAGTAAGATACCCTCCTAACACCACCCCCCCCCTGGCGCAATACACCTACTGCGAATAGCATTGCTCCCACTCTCCTTAAAACACGAGCCTTCGAATCCGCGATAAGCCCGAACTACCACCAACAACTCGCCCCGCCACCCCCCAGCCAAGCCCGCGAACAGCGCCCAACCGTACACGTCGGACCGAAGCATTTCGCTTACGATCCAAATCTTCACATCGTAACAGAGGTCATTAGGTTCGAATGGCGCTAATCAGTTCTTTTTAGCTAAGGGCGCTACGGCATATCACAAGCGCAACGACCAAAACCAGCGCCTCCACGGCTGTCTCGCAACGAGCAACAAACAACCATGTGTCGGCTCGCTAGCATCGCCGCTAACTGATGAGCTGCACCACTCTCTTTGTCATTACAAAAAACAAGTCATCCTACCAGTTCTGTCGACTTCGCGCCCCCGTATTCTCCGCACCTTTTTCTCTGCATTTGTCTACTTTTGCCTTGCTTAAAGGCACACATAGTACGCTCATAACACCACTGAGGGATGTATTGAGACTATCAGGCCCCCAGATGTCGAATGATGCCGTGGTCCCCCGGCCCAACCACCATCCGCCCTCCGCGGCAATGGCAGATACAGCGGCCGTGAACACGCAATCTCCTCCGTGCTCCGCCCACTGCCTTATTTACGGCCGCACGCATTCCGCCGCTTCATTAATATCCCGTCGTAAGGCGCCGCCTGTCGCGTACGGCTCCTTGGCACTTTGCCAAGTCCCCCTTTAATGTGCCCGCTCCTCACCATAAGCGCAAAAACGCATTTCCGTGATGCGCGACTAAGCATTGGTGGAGGTGCTACAAAATTAGAGCAGAAGATGATGGACAAGCGTCGTTCGGAACTCCAGAGGGCCAAAACAAACAACAAGTCTCGGCTGGCATCCTGCTTACTGCCAGATGCAGCCGAGTTGCTCTTTGAGTTCCGACAGCCACCAGCGATCTCCACTGCCGTCACTTGTTCTCAGTCACATTTCTATGGCTTTGCGCACGATTCGCGCCGGTATCATAGAACTTTACTGGCGATTTAACCAATTCTGCCTTTCCTTGATTTCTTCACTTCTTTGTTCTTGTCCCTTACACTTTACCATCCTCTTCGTCCGTTCATATTCTTAGCCATGTGTCACTCCTTCATCCTCCTCTGTCTCACATCGCGATTTTGAAGCATGAGCAACACCTTAAATTTTTTTCGCATCAGGAAATTGCGCTTTTGATTGCTATCAAACCTAACGAGATTCCGTTTATTTTCCATGTTTTCCGTGGAAATAGTGGCGCTCCGAGGAGATGTTGCAGAAGTGGCACAGTTGCGTTTTTAAGTTTAGACCCTCGTCATATGCTTCTGCTCTTATCTTTGTAGCACTCCAATAGTTATCACGCATCAGGAAATCGCGTTTTCCTTAGGCATTTGAGTCGAGGCGCAATAAAGACGCTTGGCGAAAGTGCCCATAGAGCGCGCACGCGACGTACGCGGCGCTATATCATCGGATTGTATGAGACGCGGGGGAATCGTGGTGGCGCGTAAGAGAGGCATTGGTCGGGCATGGAGGATTAGCGTGTTTGCACTTTCTGCGCCCCTTGTATTCTCCATTCCTGGGCATTGTTTGGGCGCAGGGCGACCTCGGACAACATCGACATCTGGGGGCTGATAGTCTCTACACCTCAATGTGTATGAGCGTACATGCTGTCTTTTAAAGCGCTTCAGTAGCATCAAATTGTTATATTTAGGTTGACTTGCAACAGAAAACCGCTGCCGGGGGCTTGAGAAAAGCGCTAAATAGCGAGAAACATGGATAGTCATAAAGTGCGGCTGATAACCGGTAAAGAAACCAGGCTGTCAAACGAGTTTCGTCAACCGGTGAAACCTGTCAACTCGGTTCAAAAATCTTCCAGGATAGAGAGCGCCAGACGTTCATGGAATCCTCCGTCGTGGAGTCGAGTAGAGTTAATAATTTAGTCATCAAGGATCTGAGTAAGCATAGTTCCTTATAGGAAACGACATCTCTTCCGACCTTGATAACTCAATCAGTATATTTGGGCCCGTAAACCAAGAAAAACCTATGCCCATTCTCCGAATTAGAAACTACACTGGCCATTTCAATACATACGGCTTTTCGTCATCGAGTGAAGGTTACTTGCCTTGCCTACCGGTTACATACTAGAAGATGCCTGACTTTCCTTTGTTGGTGTATGGATTGTTTTTACTGCAAAAAAAACAACGAATGGAAAAAGGTGAGAAGTACAGACTTCTCAGATATCTTAGAAGACACAGCAAAGGAACCTCCCAAAAAACATGATTCAGTTTTCGCGTACTTTTTTTTGCTAGAAACAGCGCCTCTCCCATTTTTCAGAAAACTGTCGAATGAAACCGTATAACAGAGGCTAGACAGCTGAAACATTCGTCTGCTGACACATTCAAATTTGAAAAAGATCTCATCTTCGAGCACTACATAACAAAACCCGGCAAATCCGAAGAATAAGATTTTAACTCGACAGCTGCCTCGACAAGGTCCGACAGCACCTATCTTTGCGCTATTTAATGAGAACAGAGAAACTACAAGAATAAAAAGTGTGATCGAGTCGCAGTTCGGCAACGGCACCAGAGCTTTAGCTGCTTCACTAGTTTAGGCCTACAAATATCCTAAAACTTGTGAACTCTCGTGAGGCTGGAGTAAGATACTTTTTGCGAAGCTGAAACTTGGGCTGGAACATTTCGCCGCTTAACGAGATTCCACAAGTTTCCGCTTGACGGCTCGACAAGTCGAAGACAAGTAGCAAGAGTGCAAAATTGCCCTCCCCCCTCCACCCTCGTCGCCAAACTGCGCCTGTGAAAAATTAGAAATGAAGAACAAAGGAAAAATGTGGGATAGCATTATTTTAGACCTATTTGTGGAGTCTGAATTTTCCCTGTTCCCAAGCGCTGACGTGCGAACGTGCCTCTATATGACATATTTCCTCTTTGCAGATTTGCGAGAAATCCGGAAATAGATATTTCAAGAAACTTGTAGGTTGCGTTCTTCCATTTCCGCAGCGGTATTCTCCCTATGACATGGGTTAAGCTCACTGTAAAAAAAGGAAACATTCTATCATAGAGCTCAAATTCCAGAGGAAAACAACACGGAAGGAGCTTTTTTTCAAATTTCTCAAAAAAAAATTTGGGACTAGAATAAAAGAAAAGGAACGACCAAATAGTCTCACCTTCATTCTACAAGTCACTTTATTCACCATATTCCGTGGAGAAATCCGGGAATAGCCGGCACTTGTTCACGTCGACGCTGCACTTAATGACGTCGAATATAAGGTGTATTCCGCAGTCTCACACATGAGGCACGTATTGACTACGAGGCTTTTATTGAATACGAGGCTTTCAGAGAAAAAAAAGTTGAATAAAACGATGAAAGGAGTAAGTACGTAGGAAAAGCAAAACTGGTAACACTCGCATGCTCGAACTGAAGGTTCAAGAGTTGCAACAGATGAAATCTTACCCCGAAAAAGCTCTTGAACTGACCTACTTTCATAGAAGAATCTGCATCAACAGGAAGCATAAAACTCTAGCGAGAGCTTCTACCATGGGCGGAGAAACTTATTCAGTGAGCATTGACCAACAAGCGACACAGCGATGTTATCACACTATCTCACAATGTTGTTCGCTGCGGACGAAGGGGCGTGTCAGGCGAGATGGACTTGGCGCGGTGCCAAGCCAGCAAGTGACGAGACTGTATCATATTCACCGTATCAGTTGTTATCGCACCTCGTGTTTCAACAAGTGGCAGAGAACGGGTTTTTTGCCATAACACTCATACTGCCTGACACGCCCCTTTACCGTAGCGAACTAGAGTATAGGTGCAGAAAACCGGAGTGAACTGCTATGAATTGAGGCAGAGGCGTGGTCAAGCCACGCCCGAAAATGTCATGCTGTCACGGCTGAGGATGCAAACGAGCAGACATAAAATGGTCCTTCGATGGGTGCCAAAGAACTGGAAGGTTACCGATCGCCAACGATCGCTAGCGATTGCTTGAATTCTGCGATCAGGCGATTCGGGAGATGGAGCGATCTGAGAGACTCGGCTATCCGGCGTTCTGGCAAGTGTAGGGTCGCTCAGTTCGCTCACCCTCCGCATTCGCAGCAATTGATACCTATGCTTTCTGTGCGCAATATCTCAAATCGTCGATATGCATAATCGCAAAGTAGACGGTGGCCTTAAATAAATAATAGTTGGCGCGATAGTTTACTTGGCCTAAAATGCTAGCAGGCCTTATATAGTGGAAAAATAGCGAAAAACGAAGTGAAACGGTCAAAGAGCTGCGAAGAAAAAGCCTTCGTTCTTAGTGACTTAAAAACCAATACCGGACGAGTTTCCCGTAGGCAACTTGTCAATAACCCCTACGGCAGATATGGCTGCACGCTTATATCCAGCACCGCAGCAGCTTCATATCATTCCCTCGCTTCAACTTTTACTTAACAAGTGAAGCAATACGAGCACCAGGTGCAGTCGCCCATTTGTGGGCGGGCGGGCGCGGTGGGCATCTGGGGCATCGGGTGGGTGTTTTGCAGCTTGATAGCGCCTCATAACGGTACCCTCTCTGGAAAAGGCGCTACGCAGCGCCTGCTTAAGGTCGCGGAATTCCGCCCAGATAGGCGTATTAATCCTACACGTCAGGGGATTTGTCTTGCCAACTGCCTTTAACACATTGACGACGAGCCATTTTTCCCTTGACTTGCGCCTGGGACGGCACATTTTTCTGCACTGAAGCTTAGTAGTTTCCAAATAAATGAATTACTACGACCAAAATATATCGTGAAATGCAGGAGACGAGCATAATCTCGAATCTTTGACCCATTTTTGCTCTTATTGCTCCAATCTTCCAAAATCAGGCCATTTCAATATCGCATCCCTGCCCGAAAATGTTTGTACTTGGACTAATTTTATGAAAAGAAAGTGAAACAATCGCGCAGATGTTGAGTTATATAATAACTGTGGGACAGCATTGGGCAACGCCATTCCACAAGACAGACTTTCTGTCTTCCACCATTGACGGAAATCGTCGTCAACTCATTAAGTGGACGTGATATTTCGTTGACGGGGTCGGTTCACCGGTAGGGACAAGTTTTCAGGGAATTTAAAGATCTAGGACATTTTGGCGCGGACGCCTGTAGCGCAGGCGCCAGGCATTTTCGCGGGAAACGAATGTGATGTTCGTGTTCAGAGGCTCAAGTTACCCCACGAGACAAGTTTTCAACGATTGTGGTGGCCTAGAGTATTTTGGCGCCGGCGTCTGTGGCGCGGGCGCCGGGCAGTCCGGGCCAAACCACTGTGCTGTTCGTTTCAGAATTTCAGCTTGCTCCTATAAACATCTTCTGAACAAACTTGGTTGATTGCACGTCTTTATTATTAAAGCAGTATGCTGTCGGACAGCATTGTCCGATACCGTCCCATGAGACAGACTGGCTGTCGCCCATCATTGTCCGACACCGTCGTCAACGTGCTAAGAAGGCTGGCATGCCATCATTCAGTGATTAGTCTGACATAGGCATTACATTACAACACCCACTGTAAGAGTGCGTACATAATTTGCGTTTTGAAAAACGCTTTAAGTGACTAGGAAAGTACAGGTATCCATTTAGGGATCTGAGAGTGCCAGTGTTTCCAGCCACAGCCGCGAAACATTCAAAACGGTGGATCTATATCTATACTTTCCTAGTCGCTCAACGCTGACTCAAAGTTAGAACGCACTCTAGCAGTCGCCCATTGTGTAATATAAGAAACACAGTAACGAAGTATAAAGACATAAACTTCTTAACTTTCAAAGACAAAGAATCATAACATTCTTTACTTAGTCATGCAAAAAATATTAAACATGTCATGGAAAAGAAGATCACAATTAGCAAACGAAATGTATGCAATAGTCAATGAAAATAAAGCCTTTAGTAAAGCTTGTGCCCATGTCAAGATAGTCAGATGTGGTTTAATTGTATGGGCTAGAGACAACTCGGAGAAATTAAGAAGATCATATTGATATTCATACAAATTTAACAGATGGGAATAAGCTCAGTCAATAAATGGAGTTGATAGATTCTGATAGGTAAAAAGTTTAAAAAAAGCTATGACTGAACTCAACTTCATCCAGACGAAAAATAGAGGGGGAATCCTGCATCCTGTTCCAGGATTCTGCAATTTTGAGTCCATAGAATGAACCCTGCGAAAGTCAAAAAGGGAAGGTATATGAAAGGATACATAGTCATAAAGAACAAATGGATCACCCTGTTTTATAGAGTATAATCCCCCTCTCTCTTCTCAAACAGGGTTCGCTTGCGTTTTTCGCACGCTACCAGCCATAGTTCCACTGACTTTCGTGAAATTACAAGTGAAAGACAAGTAAGCTTTCAAGGTCACGTCCTCTCCACTTTCACAACGCTGCTGAATAACTGCTGTTCATCTCTCTCGTTCATTTTATCACTGAGTTCCCGTACAAGAGCCTCGAGTTCAGCTACCTGAAAAATCAATTCCTTCTATTCTTTTCAGTTTCGGCAAATTAATCTTGTTCACTGCAGATATTAGGGCGTGTCAGGGAAGGCGGGTCTGACGCATACCAGCCCATTCTCCACCAAACATGGGATCAGGCAGGAAATCGAAAGTGGTGAAAAACTGACTGCGTCCACTCAGCCCCTCCCCCCTTACACGCCCAGTGTCCGCAGCGAACAGGAATTCTAATATAATTCTGCTTCACGCACCTTTTCAGTTAACTTAATGCAAGAAGGGCATCCAAGCAATGATTCAGCTGGGACTTCGGAGCTCATTGAACGTACGCCAAGCGAGACGCCATCATCGCAGTTATCCTCACAATTGGATGACTCCTCCAGTAACGCTGTTGCAGGAATCGGATTCTCGTCGAAAGCAGGGTTGCATATCGCTTGGCCAATCGAGCTGAAATGACAAGTGTTTGAAATTAGCAGATCATATCTACTTCCATTCGATAAAAATTCGCCTGCCCGTCTCAACCATATATCTTAGAAGCACATTTCGCGATGGAAAGGCGTGGTTAGGGGAGCCAAAAAGCATTTCTATTTGCCAAATGACTTAATAGTGAAAAGAAAGAAAAAGAATAGTCAGCGCTTTATACGGGGTCCCTTGAGTTTGTGAGACTTTACCGGCGTTCAGACGAGCTCTTCGCAATCTCTGGCTTCAAGCTGGGGAGTCAGTGTAGCTGCATCCCTTCACTGCGTTCCATTTGGTTTTTTTTGATGCATTTCGTGTTGATTACGTTGATTTCGTCGGTGCTAATAACCCTCGAGGAGGCACGTATAGGATCTTTGTGATATTGGAGGGGGGCTTCTGCCAGAGCACGAGCACAAATAGGGAAGGAGCGGGGCGAGCAAACCTTTTTCAGGTACATTAATTCGGTGCAGATGATGTTAAGGACAGTGACAGCTGGAGAGACGAACGGTGGAACCCGATCCCAGAGGAAGACGACCACGTCGAAAATTCAAGTCATTGAAGAAAGTTTTTCAGCTCGAAATCTCGGGAGGCACAGCACCTTTAACAAAGTGAAAACCAGTTCTTTGAAGGAAGTTCTTCGCACAACCTCTCCAAGGCCATTACCGCCAGTTTACCCATTATTCGTTGGTTGTGTGGCCGCCTTCTGAAAAGCGAATGGGCGGAGGCCCAGGTGATGGGGCAGGCCCCCACACATGTCACATGCTCCTGGCGTCCCTGCCCTCACCTCCGACAGCTAAAATATTACAGACTTGCCAGCCGCGAACTCAATATTCGTATTCTATTATACTTCGTGTTCTATTCGTATTGAAACATGCATTTCTGGCAATCAGGCTTTACTACACTTTTGCTTAGTGGTAGTGGAGACATTGTTTCTCTATTTCTGTTAATTCTGAAAATTTCAATAAAGGACCTGATTTCAGGAGGAGCGACGATTCTCGCTTCCAGCTTTTCTTCGTAGTGGAAGGTTTCCGAAATATTCCTGATATCGTCGCTACAAATCCAGTGAAGTCTTATTTGAGGATCAGGATATTTTTTTCGAATTTTGTCCAGAAGGATATATTCGTCTATATCCTGCCGCAAATAACCCGCAATAATGTCTTTGTCGGTGTCTGAAAGGGGAAGATCACGAGTGCTGAGTGGGTGATTAATATGACGCGTGCAGTACTTGACGAGAATGGCGCCGTCTAAATAGACGAACTCCTGAAAAAAACATAAGCTGGATTCCAGTCTCTGAGCGAGAATAGATAATTTTGTCGTACCTTCAAAAATGAGGTGCAGGAGAGAACACCTGAGGATGTTGTCCCCGGCTCACACCTGCAACGATTCTCTTCCAAATTAAGTTCGCGTTATGGTCCAGTTCGAGACTCACAAAAAGGCGGAAAAGACTAGACAGAAGTTCACCGCATGGCACCGTTCAACCAAATAACTTGCAAGTTGGAGACGAAACGAAAAGCGTTTTCATTGACTCGAAAGGAATGAAACCAGCGGAAGTAATTCGTACCAAATTCCTTTCACGTATCACTGCTTCTCCGGCTCTCGCTGTACTCAAATACTGGGCATGGCAAACTGGCTTTCTAGGAGAATCGGTGATACGTGAAAGGAATTTGGTACGAATTACTTCCGCTGATTTCATTCCTTAGTCAATGAAA